TCAAGTCACCCAACTGAAAGCTAACGAGGAGCACACTTCTGCGGTTTTAGTTGTTTCTTTACATTGCACCATTGAAGAAATAAAACAGTCCTGAACTTTGCAGGGAAACAAGAAAAAAGTGTAACCGCGAGGACATTCCTGTCACTGACAAAGTTTACTGACCATTAAAATAATGCAATAGTAAAATAACGTTATAAAATACTAGAATCCTTCACCTATACGAGTTAAAAACTAGTTATAATCGATTAACCGTTAAAAAAGTGTGAAACGTCATAGTCAGAAGGTTGCCGCTGCTGTTGTTCCTGCCCTTGGGCCCAGTCCCTTCGTCTCTGTTGTGCACGAGAAGGGGAAGTACTGGTGCCAGACCCCTGCATGCCATACTGCACAAGTTCATGGCCTGAAAAAGAAAAGACGCTAGTTTTAAAAACTGAGTTTTGGCTATAGCTTTCTTGACGTGTTTTCACATCATCTGTAATCGTATTTAATGACACTGTTGAAAACAATTTTTCCTTTACCTTTCCATCGACACAATACAGTGGCGGATCCAGGGGGTAGGGGGTGGGCAGGGCGGTCATCCTGACCCTCCAAAAAAAAATTTTCGGCCCTCCAGACCTCAGTTTGGTCTAAAAATAACAGAGGGCGGGGCCCCCTGGGACCCTCCCCTGAATCCGCCACTGCAATAGCCTTTGTCTTACGCGCGCGGGATACAGAGGCAGCGCGAGAGAGGAGGATAAATACGAGGAAAGAGGTAGCGCCGAAGTTCAGATTAACTTTGCAGCCTGCTACAGAGGCTATAAAAATACAGACAGCGCCAAGCAATGTTAACGTGTTAGACATTTTTCCTATGGAAGCAGCCGTTCCTAAAAAGAAACCTTGCCAGCAGCCTATGACCCTGACCTTGCCCATTTTCTTTTTACCTTTTACGTGAGCAACGAAAAAAAGGAAGGAAACATTTTACCTGCCGAGGAGTTCTGCCCCACACTACCAGGCAAAGGAGATGCTGCAGCCCGATCGGCTAAAAGATCTAGCGGATCCTAAGAAGACAAAGAAAAAAGCGCCATTAATACCTTGTTGATCTTTGAAAGTGGCAAACAATCATGCAAGAACAAATTTCCAAGAGAATCTTAAGTTGAAAGTTGTATTAACTGACTTCCAACCCAAGGCTGCACCACTAAAATGAAGAAAAGCTAAAGACCGACACAAGGTAGAGAAAAAGGGGAGGGGAGGGGAGGGGCAGGAAACGATGTGTGGACACTTCAAGGTTGATTATATTTTACTAATTAGTTCCTAATGAAACTTTACTGGCATATGTTTGCTACCGGGACCTTATTTTTACTATTCAACCATTTGAAATAATTTCAAAGAAACCAGGGCTTGAAAAACTTGAATTCCAGCTTGTCATTTGGGCAAGCAGCTCTCACATTTTTCTTGCCCTAGGTCATTTCTTACTCATCTTAACCCTTTAGGTCCCAAGAGTGACCAATATCAATTTTCTCTCAACAACATCAGCAGATCATCAAGAGTAAAGGTCATGAGAATTACTAAATTGATTACCAAAGGGAGAATGCTTTGATCTTAAACCAAATTCTCTCAACTATTCTTAAAAGAAATGTATGGAGATAAGTCTGGAGAATTTGTATGTGGATCTTAGGGCTTAAAGGGTTAACTACAGTTCTAGTTAGAGGATGACATGCCAGGACCCTTGCCCATTGGAGAGATTTCAAAGTTATTTCCCCAGTAAGGAAATTTACTTGCCCTTAACTACCCGACGTGACTTTTCTCGTGCACTGGAAACAACCTAACACGTGATGACACTGTTCTTTGTGGATTTCCTGTGGTAGTGTACCGATATTATATAATAATTATATTATATAATATTTATTTGTCAAACAACCAAGACTTTTTTCTCCAGTGATCATTATCTTAAAAACATTTCAGCTTTACAGCTTGCCATTCGGACAAGCCATACAGTACTTCTGTAATTTGAATTCCCCAAAAAATCTTTACCTGCCCGTCAGACAAGTTGAGTGCAGAATTCACTAAAGCTGTATTTTCATTCATTTTCTTTTGCTAAACCAAATGACTGAGAAGAAAATGTGAGCTGTTCACTCTTTAAAATAATCTCACCTGGACTGGATGGCCTCCCTCATGGCCAAATACATCAAAAAATATGCTATTATCCAATACCATAGGGTGATTTGCCAACTGATACTGAATATTCTCAAGATTCTGTGAAATGTAATCTACTTGATCACCAATAAAATTCCTGAAATTAAAGAGAGAATCAAGCTACAGCAAAGTCCAATCTTTAGGTGCTAATGTTGTACAAGAAAGTTGGTTCATCATGCTCAAGATCCTAGCACCACTAAGAATAATTGGTGTCACAGTCAACTCTATCTAAGACAAACACCTTTGGAACCATACACCTATAGGACCACCACTAAATGCCCATCTTCGAGAAATGTCTGTCTTATAGAGACTTTAATAAAGGGAGTAAAGAAAGGCAGGGACTAACTCTAGGTGTCCATTTTACAGAGGTGTCCATCTCATAGAGCTGTCTGTTAAGAGAGGGTTGACTGTATTAGAATTATAATTACTGGTTAAGTTTATGTTAGATATTCCCCATTATGCAAGCAATTCTAAGGTCATGATTGTATATGTTTCTCACTAAACTGAATACCTTCCTGAAAAAGCGTCCACATTAAAATATCCCTGACAAAAGAATCACCATAAAAGCACTACACTGATTTTTGGTTTCAGAAAGAAATGTTCTGCTCAAACAATGCCATAAATTGAATCATTTATCAGAGTGAACTTGTCATTTTTCTGATAAATAGTTACAGCACTCTGGGTGGCATATTTTTTGACAAAGATATTTGAGTTGGCATGAAAGAAAATAAAATGCTATGTGACAGAGTAATGCTGGGGAATTTCATGTGGGTGAATATTTCAGAAAGTATGCTGGTGAAAGATCCGTGTGGGACAGTGGAAATCTTAAGTACCTATGTACGATTTTGACTACACACTTTCTTAACTAGTTACGAGTTGCAAATGATTAGTTTTGACTGTTAATGTAGTTAATAGTTACAAAGTCAACAGACATACCGTAATCTCCCAAATAAGCTTCTTATTTCTTTAACACATTTTTGAGAGGATTAATGCAGAGTGGGACTTATTAGAGATAGGAGGTGAGGTATTTAAAAACTGAAATTGCAACCCTAGGTAATCCATTCTATTTCATATATGGTATTCTGTAAAACTCAGAGTCTATTAAAATCTCTTGCAGGGCAGCTAGTATTTTACATGGAACCTTTTAGTTAGAGCAATCTACACATAATCAGTTAAATTAAGTTATAGAATTTTGTTTACCTTGAGTGATAGTTTAGTTTAACAAAACAAATCATGGAAGTTGGCAAGGAGGGCTGCAAATTTGAGTGAGTGAGTTTTATACTGTAACTTTTAACTGTTCAAAAGCCGGGGGGGGGGGTCATTATAAGAGAGATTACAGCATAACTTGACATCTTAGATTCTTTTCTACTTTCTGAGCTTTCTTACTAGCTACAAGGATTGCAAATACGGGACATCTGACTGCAAAACTCAATGCACTGCCTACAGACGTTGATCTGCATTATTTATCATTGCAGTAATGACCCAACTGTAGTGATAAATAGCGTTTCAACAGATCAAAGAACACTACCTCTCTAGAATATCTTCCTGAGAGAGTCCCCGCCTCATAGGGGCATTTCTTATAGTATGATGCTCATCGTACGATTGAGGCTCCAAAATGTGAATTGGATGGACCACAGGGGTTTGTGTCTGCTCTTCAGGGAAAGTGACCACGCCGGTGGATACACATGGCTGTACAACTGAGGCTTGTGGGTATGTGGGTGCTAAAAAAAAATTTGAATAAGCAAAGGTTAGATAAAGGAAGAAAGGTTGATTTCCACTGTCACATAACTTTCATGTGTGTATATAAAGTTCACGTATGTAACTAAAATAGAGGCAATGTATGGAAAGTAGAGTTGAAAGGAAGGTTGAGTGGGGTTCAACTTTCAAGTTTACACGTGGCCTTCCATATATCACCTCTATAAAATCTACGCATGTAAATTTCATGCACATACACATGTAGAATTATGCAACAGTGGAAATCCACCCTTATACAACATTTATGCTTATCGACACATTGATGATCAATATCCTGCAAGTGCAGAATGTAAAGGTTAGAACACACTAGGTAACAAGTTGCAGTTCCAAAGAATTTTTGCCAAAATTCTTACTTTGAAAAAAAATTTTTAGCGCATTATTTTTCGTATCTTTTTTTCTTTTTTATTACCTTCTTATACAGCAAGTTAAATAAAAAACACTACCTCATAAATTAAATTCAAAGAGATGCTTGTAACAGGGCTGTCATTAAGTTTTGAGGGAGCTGTAGCAAATGAAAATTCATTCGTGACATCTCACAAGTTCCCCTCATCTTAAATAAAGTAACTACTAAAAACTAAGAAAGTGGCAACTCCTTACCTGTTGAAGTTGACACAGGACTAGATACTAAGGGCTGTGATGTTGAAGGACCTGATTCCTCTGGAAATCTTATGACTGGTCTGGCATGTGATATGGTGTCATCATCTGGCAAAGCAGTAATAAGTGGCCCACTTGTTGCTGGAGATATAGGTAAGGTTGAAATGTTAGGAGATAATAGAGAGATTTAGGGTCATGTTTATGGGAAATGTTGAACGGCAGACTCAAGTTGAGAATTTCTTAAAATAGAAAATGAGCAGATAAAAACAGTCCAAAACAATTCTTAAGGGTAAAACTAACGTAAAACTACCAATTTTTTAACAGTAAAAGACAACTGAAGGAAAAACTTGGTCACATCACACAAATTTACGTTTGCTGTTTGCCGTAAACATAGCTCTAAATCTCTCTAATATTATGTATGAGCTTTTGGCTGGAACAAAATAAAACAGCTGTTTGTAATTACAAGGTTTGATTCACATGTGTTGTGATTTTTTATATGTAAAACAAGCAGAATTTGCTACACTTTTTCAACCTTAAATTAATCAGCAACAAGCCTCTACTCCAAATAAAATAATTTTCAAAAATTAGTTTTTTCTAAAGAAGAAAGCACAACAATGCTTACATTTAAGAGTTTCCTATAAATTTTAATTATGTAAAAAACATAAGATCTCACTCACAAGGAATGCTTGATGAAGGAACATTTGAAATATCTGATATTGTAAGAGTCTGAGTACTGGGCTACAAGGAACAAAATAGAACCATGAGTTTATAATATTTGATCAATGACATATCTTCTAATAATTAGCATTCTGAACTAAAACACTCACTGTTCAAACTTTGCTGTTTAACGCTACAACCATATTGCACTAATGTGGAAGAGTGAGAAGTCATTATCTCCATAACTCAATAGCGCTTCCTGCAGTTACTATTTAAAGACCCAAGACTCAGACAAACAAAATGAACTTGACATTAGCAAATTTCTCACTTTTGTCTGACTTCTGTCATTAAAATGTCATGTTTGTATATCTTTTGTCATTAAAATGAGAAAAATGACAAAACTCAGACAAAAATTGCAAATCAGTCACTTTGACGTCATTTGCGCGCTACACAATTAGCTGAAACAGCAATGTCAATCACAACCATTCAGTTAAAAAAGGATAATTTTTGCTGGCAAATCCCTACACACTGTCAGACAGTAAGACGGGGTTCGTGAAGTACAGTAAGTATGAACAAAAGAGCCTTTCCAACTGTTTTGGACCTCTGACCATTCATCAGTGGGATGAGCCCTTCCATGTTTTTTTTTTAACTTTTGACTGGGACCAGTGAGTGAAAATCCATCAATGCAGTTAAAATGAACGCGTTCAAGTCAGTGAAGATGGCAAGTATTGAAAACTAACAAATATATAACTCTGCAAAAAAAAACCATCCATAAACTTTGTGGAGCAAATCTTTGCTACCTTTTCACAGATCACCTTGAAAACTTGGTACGTTTCCTAATTTTAAGGCCCTCTTTCCAGCCTTGTCAATGGGTATTTGGCAAGGCTGTGCTTTAAGGAAAACTGAAGGGAGCCCAGTGCTCTTAATCTGTAAAATCTAGGGTGCCCAGCATATGATGTGTATGGAAAAAGTAAGATTTTCTAGTTGCCCAAGAGCAAAAGTTAGGCGCCAGGGGCCACCAGGCTCTGCTAGAGCACAGCCTTGGTATTTGGTAACTAATCTTTACCAAACTTGAAAAAAATGTGGAAGGTATATCACCACTGGCTGACAGTTACTGTGTGTTAAAACAGCTTTACTGAGGGTAAACTTACTCGTTGAGCAGAGTAACTTGGTGGAGGTTGTCCACTACTAGGTCCACAGCCTTCTCTGTAATCATAGCGCCCTCTTTTCGATGACTGTTCCTCTGTGCTATCCTGGAGCATTAACCTACAAGATTGAGAACACTGATTTAATTATTATACCCTAATAGCGTTACAAAAGTTTACATGACGTCACGGTTTTAGCCAGAAGGGTGTCCAGCCATCCTATCCATGGACACCCATTTAAACTTCACTTAATCTTGTATAATTTTATGGGAAAACATGCGTTCTGAATGGCCAGTTTTCAACGTCTGGCCAAAAGCCAGCATGACGTTACAGTCATGTTACAGTTACATACACAATTGTATGTACTTGTAGCTGCTCACCTCTTTCTATTTGTCATGAGCTTTTCATTTTGATACATGAGTCGCATAAGATACTGGAAAAGCTGTGAAGCAAACAAAGTCAAAAAGTAAGATATAAAGGAACACATACATGTACATGTAGATCAGGCCCTGGTAGTGCTTGATAGCGCTATCCACTGGATAAATGACTCTCCACTGGAAAAGTCTTAGCGAAACCACTGATTGCACTATTGCACTATGGAGATTCATCAGGTGGATAGTATTATCCACTTTTTGAACAACTGGAGCCATATCTGTAGTTTCTAATCCTTTATTAAAAACTATGGACAAACGTTCCTAATGTGGCATCAGAGGGACAAAGGCCAGGTAACCTGCATGACTCAGTGAGGTGCTTGTAATTTTGTCAATTCTCTGTATGATAGACGTCATTGGGTTGGGATTTTTGGCTGTGCCTAGATTTTAAATACAGCAGATCTTTCAATTTGATACCTGCTTTTAACTATATCCCTTCATTACATGGCTTAAAAGGTTAGGAGGAGAAGGTGTGTCCTTCAACAAATTCACCTTGTTCACAATCTGCTGTTGTCTCTGATGTTTCTGCCTTAGTTCTACCAGTTCATTCCACAGTGTGACATTCTCTCTGAAAAATAAAGGTTCGTCAATACATATTTAATTCCAAGGGGTAACTACATCAGTCAACCCATCACCACCAATGTCAGGTCTCTACATACATGTCTCCTCTCCTTTCATTCTCCATCAAAAATACCATATTTCATTTGACTAATTGCCAACAATGAACTAAAGATAATTGTTTTGATTGCTCAGTACACTCAGGTTTAGAAGCTGAGCACCATATGATCTCCAGATATTTGCCCTATTTTCTCTCCTTTACTCTTCTCTTGATTATATTATAGGGCATGAAGGGTAGTGAGAATTTAATAAGACCAAAAACATGCCGGAAAGTTGGAGGTGCAAATATACTTTCCTTTTACCAGACAATGCACTCCTGACCTCACCTCAACGTCTAGTTTTACAACTATCTACCTGGAATAAGACCAGTGAAATCATCTCCACAACAAGAAAAATTCTTGTTTAGAATACTTACCTCTTAATCTGATCAAGTTTCATTGTCATTTCATCTTGTTTTCCCTTCATGTCCTGAACATCATTCAGCACTTTAGAGACATCCTCATTCCTTACTTTCTTTTCTTCTGGAGTAGCTTTTCTCTTGACATTCTCAAGTAATTCAGGATGGTACCTGTTAAAGTTTCCATTGAAAAACTCCCACTCATCTTTCTCTGACCGCAGGCCACCTTGTTCTGCACCAATTACTTTACGAAAGCCATCTAATAAGACAAGTTGGATTTGCAGGGTTAACACAAAGATAATATACACATAAAATTGGGTTGCATAAAATGCAAAAAAAAACAATTTGTTTACCTAAATGTACAAAAACCTACAGTGATAGACAAAAGTGTTGACACACTTCCGTAAAATAGCCCCTTTTTGCATAGTCAGGGCTTCTGATATTTCGAGCGGTCGCAGACCCGCGAAATTCAGGTATTTCCGCGAAATCCCGCGAAATTAAAAAAAAAAACACGAAATACCGCGAAATCCGCCAGAAATATTTCCAAATACATGTCAGCAAAACATATTTAATACTTATCTTGGTTATTAGACAGGGCTTCTGATATTTCGCGCAGTCGCGGACCCGCGAAATTCAGGTATTTCCGCGAAATCCCGCGAAATTCCCCCAAAAACGCGAAATACCGTGAAATCCGCCAGAAATATTTCCAAATACTTGTCGGCAAAACATATTTAATACTTATCTTGGCCATTAGACCTGTTTTATTCACCCCAAACGTCCAAATTTATCTTGAAACTTCGTCACTGCAACAAGTAAACAACGTCCCAAAACTACCAGGCATTCTTAGATTAATGTTGCGAAAAACTGGGCACTAACTATAATGTTAATAACTTTAGCATTCGCTCATTTCTCGAGCAAACTGTTGTTGAAAGAGCAAATGATTATCCCTGTTAAAAAAACAAGGTTAAACAACGCTGCTTAGATCGACGCAGAATTGATCGATTTTAGCGAAATTTGCCAAAAAAAAAATCCAGCAAAATCGGCTGTTTTTTACTGATTGGTTCTTGGCAAAGTTTCCCCCCGAAATTTCCCGTGAAATCGGCCCCTGAAAATCCTTCAAAATTTGACTTTTTTCCGCTAAAATCCCGCGAAATCAAACGAATTATCCGCGAATTTTGATTTTTTTCCCGTGAAATCGGCCAATTTTTCCGCGAATTTGCCCCTGAAAATCCCGCGAAATTTTGCTTTTTTTTTCCGCGAAATATGAGAAGCCCTGCATAGTGGATATACTTATCCCCTTCCCCTGTCAAGTCTTTTTTTTTTTTTAATTCACACAACATTGATTCCGGGGATGAGGAGATTTACGGTGTTTAAAAAGAATGAAATAATAAATGAATTAAATGTTTGTTAAAAGCACTTGTTTTAAACAAGCTGCTCTTTAGAACTTGTTTTATGTATTTTTGTGCTTTCCAGATCAAATTTGGGAGTTTTGGGATTTGTCAGAGAGAAAACTGGATAATCCAAAGAAAAACTACATAAAGTAAGAATGATTGATTCATTAATTTGGTAAGAGGCAAATATCACCACTGCAACACCCTCAATGCCACCTCCACTGAGAATAAACAAAACTACAAACAATCTTAATGTTTTCACTTCTAGGTAGCGGCCAAATGCTGAATTTAAGAGCAAAATTAACAATTTATCCTACTAAACATGCCACTGAAAAAGTTTTCAACTCTTAGGCGGTCGGATTCCTTGGGATACCTAAATTACATGTTCCCATGTGAACGTCGGAAGTCCTAAGAAAGTAGCCATCAAATGCAATAACTTTACCTGAATGATTACATAATTTTAGAACTGAATATATAGTGAGTTATTATGTCTTTACATGTTAATATTAAAACTACCCTCTGCAAATTAACAAACAGCACCACTGAAAAGTACTGCACTCGAAGGGTTTCAGGGTGAAAAGAAATTCATTTTTACAGCTTGCCATTCGGGCAAACTGAAGCTAGCATTTACTAGCCCAGACATCATTTCAACTAACCCCAAAAGCTTTTTGACGAGCAGAATTGATTTCACAGTTCTTCTGATATTTGAATTCCTCAAAAAACATCACTTGCCAATTGGGGAAGTTAAAAACAGAATTCACTAGCCCGATAGCAAAATCCACTAGCCCCGGGCTATTGGACACTACTTTCGTTGCACGCTGGGTTTTATCTGTTTCATCTCCATGTACTTTGTAAGAACGAAATCACGACATAAAGAATACAACATAAACAATTAGGCATCATTTGCTGGCAAGCACTGGCTGCAGAAGAGAAATCAGCGAAGAAATGATTCTTGCAGATTAAACCTGAAAACTTACACCCTTTCAGCCTCAAATGCAAAAGATCATGTCTTCATTTAAACACTGTGTGGTTTGAGAAATCAAATCTATCATATAAACTAGAAGTTGAGACTGGCAAAGTCACATGAACGGTATCATATATTACTTTATATTAACTTTGTATATTGCTCTTGAAAAACATTAAGCGAACACTTTGATTGAAAATGCCGAAGAACATTCTAAAGAGAAGAACCTCCCCTTCCCACCCACTATTGATGTCAGTTATAGTTTTGAGTATTCTAAAAACATTTTTATCAATTTCAGCGCCAACTTGAATTTGAGTACAACATGTTATCATTGAAAATAAATATTTTACACGTAAAATTATTTACATCGGAGAAAGGAACTGTCAGATGAAATTAACGTACTGTTAACGATCTTAAGCAACTGAAAGAAGTTTGTTCTAGATCGTAGGTATCTGAGACAAGCGGAAAGAATAACATGAGTTTCATCGCCCACATGCATTCCCAGAGACAAAGAGTAAAGTCACGAGTGACATTAGGCATTGCTAGCATTCTTTTGAACAACTGATCCATCGAAGTTCTTTGTGAAAGAAAACGAAAAAACGTTGAACCTCTAGTTTAAATTTCTCAAGAGACCAAAATTTAAAACGCAAAATCAACCTTTACTACAGAAAATAATGTCCTTAAATGTGTACGAAAGCGCATTTCAGCTGAAAACTAGAACAAAGCTTGTACCTGTCGGTTATTTTCAAAACATTACTTACACATATTCAGCTGACGAACAAAGCTCGCAAAATTATTGTGTTTGAAATACTTCGGAAGGATTTCGCGTGCAAAAGTGGCCTGATCGTGAACGAGGAAACCAGTTCCATTCTGCAAGAAAAAGATCGAATGGTTGTTATAGCTGTGTTCATGTCACAGAGTAATTGTAAAATTACCAAAATACAGATGATCAAGGTTTCGAGAAGATAGAGCGGTGTTATTCGAAAACCAAAAAAATACAGAGAAGGTTGTGAGTATGATAAATAATTCAGCTTAAGCTTGCCTTGTTCCACGAAATGTGTTCCTCATACTGAGGGTCTTCTACGAGCTTCCACAGTTTCACTAGAAAGGCAGGCACATTGGAAGGAATACCGCTCGAATCTGCGTCTCCTGTCTTCATCGGCATACTTTTGTGAAATCTCCCTTAATTGTAAAGCTTTTTCGCAAGTGTGCGTGCTGAAAACCAAGGTGCATAAGTTACCCCAGCGAATCATATACCGGCCATGTTGTTTGCCTCCCCCGCGCAGGCTTTTATATCCCTTTTACGGAGACTGGGGATAGTCTGTTAAGGGCGTTGATGACCTTCGCCAGGGTAAACAATTTCATCATAGATGATACTGCGGTAGACGTGAATTTTTATTGTCGGCGTTCTATATTTAGTCATTGGAATTTTTATGGCCCCAAAGACAGGAGCTAGAGCACTCTGGGTGTCAGGTGGTGACCCAACACGGGTGCCTTATTGACGTCATTGGGATAGTTGTCATGGTGCAATAAGGACAAAACACCCGGAAGCCGGTTCCAGAAGCTTCTCAAGGGACCTCGACGCACGTCGCCTGGGCCCACTGATGGTTCCAGAGAATCGGAAGCTTATCTGCATCGATTTAAAAATATAGAAAGATTTTAAAAACAAAACAATGAGTCCAAAAATATGTTAACAAAATAAGAGTAATGCTTAATTTTAATCGGAGAAATTCTACCTAAAATCCTCAAAAAAATAATCACTTTCTTTCGCAGAACTAACGTAGATTTCCCTACAAAGTGTTGGACTAAAATTCATTTCTTTATTTATTCAAAAACTGATCTTTTTTTTTTTTTACAGACATTTACTTGCCCTTATTCATTTTCATTTTTAAATAATTTCGATAGTTTTACTTAGCCCAAGTTCGAAAATGAAACATTTTCTCTTACAATAAAATCGAAACATAATAGAAATTGTTTCCATGTTAATATTATTGATGCTCCCACCGGAAGTACGATAAAACATTATTCTTGCCTACATCGTAGTCACGCAAGCCCGATGTTCTAGATCATTCGCCATTTACGCCTGTTGTCTCAGAACTTTCTCGAAGTTCTTCTGACGTATACACATTCCTGGTCGTTTTCAAACCACTTAATTGGCGTGAAATTTCCCGCTGTCAAAATGGAAAGATGTTGGATAAAAAAGAGAGTAATTCGTAAGAATAATTACAAATAACTTTAAGACTTGTTGCGCATGACAAACTCGCGTGCATGGTGAATTTGAACTGCCGAGACAATAGCTCTCTTTTCTTTTTTTAAACCCTTCATAAAACTAATTTAATCACTGTGAAATAACATGCAAGCTGCGATGATCACTGTGAGATAGAGAATTCAGCATTGATTTTTAACCTTTATTTTTAACCTGGTAAAAAATATTCAAGCGGAGTCAGTTTCTTCCTCCCGGAAGCTCACGCGATCGTGTTTTGATGGTAGATTGAGTTAGAAGTTACACGCCTTTTTTTTAAACAAATTCCTAACTACTTCCTCAGTTTTGTTTTCGTCCCTTTTTATATGTAGTCAGTAACAATAAACGATATTCTGTAAGTCAGCAGAAAGCCCTTTTTGTCGAGAGGTTTGAAAAATGTAAATTACCAAAACAACCTGCAATATAACCTGACTAATATATCAAGCCGGCCCTGTGAAGTGTTCTTGAAGATAGAGGGAAACACTTTTATAATATTCCAGCTTTTTATTCGGATAATAAACAGGGATGATGTGTTTGTACCTGTAAAGTAAATTAAACATAAGAAAATAAATTGACTCATCGTTCGTTTTTTTTAACTTGATACTTCATGAAATGCTTCGACATATCTGTACTATTACGTAATATTGTATCAAACGTGATCATGACTGGCTGAAAAATTGAAAACTGTTTTGTTCCCATTCAGTATACCAGAACATTCCCCGGCCGCCGCCCTATGTGCTCTCTTTGGACACGTATATATTTTGGCAGAAACACCTAGCTATTTTTCTTGTGTAATTATTGCTATGCTTTAGAAAAATCTTGAACTTTTCACACTAGAAAAGACAACGTAGTTGCTTTTTTTTTTCTTTGTCTCGCTATTAAATACTGAAGTATATACACTCAAATACACTTGCTGCATGTGCTGTGCATGTGCACGCCGAAACAAAGGATGTAACTGGATGATACAAGATGGCGATCAATGGGAGCACGCGATGTTAAACGTGAGATAAGTGGAATATTTCCTGGCGCTTTATTTTATTATCATTAATACCCTTGTCTATCCTGAACTATAAAAACGTTATGTTGTATCGGTATAACTTTTTGTCATCGACTTTAGGAAATATACACGCAATTTTAATCTCTAGAATTAGCCGGAGAGTTACCAAGGTGGGTTATTTTTGACTCAGGCTTATCGTGATTAATTTGATACGCTTAGTGCCGTAAAAAAACTCAGGTTTCAGCTGAGTTTGACCGCTGATGCCGAACTAAAAATATTTTTATAACACCGTGTAAAAGACGTGGGGACCGAAAGACTGAATATATATAGGATTTACGGGTCTATGCTTAATTCAAGGAAATCCGAAGGTAATTAGTATAATGCGAGTGTTTAAAAATCATTGTTATTTTTTGAGGTCTTTGCTATTTATTTTGTTCATTCGTTTGGAACCTCTTCAAAATTCACCGAGTTTATTTAACTCAAAATTCCTTGGCACACTGAAGTACACAATTCATAAGTAAAGAATTCTCGACCAGTAAATTATCTGAATTATCTGAAGAGGTACTCAGGGAGATACTGAAAAGATATGAAATGCTTCGTTGTTTCGGCTCACAAGTTTCTGTTGTTTTGGTGAGGAATACGTAGGTCGCGAATCCTTTTATAATCATCTCTCGTCTTGGAGAATTTACCGGATTTAAACCATGTTAGCTTTTATTTCAAAATTACCAAGAATGATTCTAATGTACAGTTGAAGATGTAATAAGTAATGGCATTACTTAACAGTGAAAGTTAGGAGTTGCACGCTGCTTCATTCTCATGTATGAGAAGGTGTTAACTTAATACCAACTAGACTTAAAGAGCCATGCCAGTTAGTTTCAAATGAAATCTTTTTTAAAGTACTACACTTTACTACAAGTTAGTTATAGCCAACGTCTCCTTATTGGGTATGGATTAAATCATGTTGCCATATGAATGAAAGTTAACTCAACTACAACGAACCGACTAGAACCGAGTATGTATATTTTTTACTTTCCTGTGTAAGGTGTTTGCAGTGAAGACCAAAAGCTTAAGATAATATACTGACGTGAGTTTTACTTGAATCGGAACTTGGAAGAATTTAGTCCACCCGTTGACCATGTTTTTGTGTATGTAAAACTCTTCCCTTTGTTATGGGTCTGATTTTTGTAACCCAGTTTATCATAACTTGAGAATTCATGATAGAGATTCAGTCTTGACACATAAATAAATTAGTTCACACTGACAACTACTACTACTACTCAGTACTACTATGACATGAGGTGAAGGTGTTCTCCTTTTCTTTGGCTTTTCTCAGGAAATTTATACCTAAGCTCCCGACGGTTAAACATAAACAAAGCGGTACACCTGATTTATATATCTTACATGTATAAGGGTATGCGAAAATCTTGTGGTTACAGCTTCTAGCGAATATGTACCTCATATATGCAATTGAAGAAAAGACATCAAGAACGATTTTCGTGATTACTAGAACAGTGGAGCACCCTCCAGCATAGTAAAGTGACTCCGAGACCGTTTTATGCATGGGGATACGTTCTGATTTCAAGGATAAATGGGTTTAAATGTAACTTTTCTGTTAGACCAATTTGAGACCTAAACCAAACATGCATATTTACTTTGATATTGCTTCTCCATTTAACCACTGTATAACGTCTACACAAACAACGCCTCAGCATTCAAATTCTCGGTATAGAAATTAAAATAAATGTATTCTAAATGAAGAACTGTGATATATTGGTTGACAAAGGGCAGATGACAGAATGAACAGAACATTTAATTGTCCTGACTGAGTCACCGATGCCCAAAGTATCACGGTATATAAATCAGTCATGTTTCCGAAGTTTTAAACAAATATACAGCAATAGACCTATTCGGCTAAGGGACTGTTCGTTATTTATGCCTAAGGGGGGGCCGGTGTTTAGAGAGGGGGGGTAAAATTTTCAAAATCAATGAAAAAAGGGGGTGTTTTTTTAAAATACAAATAAGGGGAGGGGGTAAGCTTTTAGAACGGTTTTCTTTTCCTCAATTTCAGCGTCAATTCTTTTCAGCCGATCCTTAAGTCTTAAGTTGACTATATCCTCGCCAGCAACAATAGACATTCTGCATTCCTCAGCAACTTCAATTACCTCTTTTATTTTTCTCCTTGCCAGGGTTGGGTCAATGCCAAGATTAACTGTTTCAGACCGCGTGTGGAGTAATGCGATAATCGCTCTTAATATACTTCTGTCATACTCTGTGTCCATGCTCTTCAAAAGTGCCGAGACTGTTTCTTGATCTAACCTCAACTGATCCGCATTCTCATCACCAGATATAAAAAATTCTTGTGTAAAGTGATTCAGGAACATTGAAACATCACATGAAGGGTTGTTTAGAACAACAAACCGCTCGAGTGTAACAGGATGCGTCACAATCACAACATTTAATCCTGTTTCTGGATGAAGTAAAATGTCCTTATTTAGAGCTTCCATACTGTACGATCACAAATGACCTTGCAATAGATTTTGGTTTATCGGCAACCGGCCAGAACACGTGTTGTACGCAATTTCACAATTGGAGGCACGTGGCGTCCTGAGGGGTGGGGGTAGGGGGGTTACATTTTGGGCCTGTTACATAAACGGGGGGGTAGTTTTTTAAAATACCCACTTCCGGGGAGGGGTAAATTTTTCATATGGCTGAATTGCTTGAAAATCACCGACCCCCCCTTAGGCATAAATAACGAACAGTCCCTAACTCAATGTTGTACCCAATTCAAATCTCCCGGGGATAAGATTCTTTGTGTATTGTATTTGCATTATAATGTGGCGTTCACATTTAAATGATATGGAAATTTCTGAAACAAAACGTTTTATTCTCAAAAGGTTTGAATTGGGTACAACATTGAGTTAGCCGAATAGGTCTATTCTAGCCGCTGAGTTAAAGCCAACAAATGCACAGCTCTTGTTAAAATTATTACAAAAAATGAAACAAAATGTAGTTATGTCTATCATTTCAGTTAGTAAACTAGAGGCCCAAAGACAAGCTTAAAAGAAATCGTACCGTATTTTAAGTGACAATAGAAACAAAATCCTAGTGGCTTTGATGTATTTATCGATGTCTATCAAAACTACCTTCTTTGTACCCAAACAGATGAGTTTCGGAAAAAATAGTATGTACTGTTCTTTACAAATTAAAGAGAAGGCGCTTACAAACTCAAAACTGGAGAGTAATTTTGCAGCTTAGTATCATCACTTTCAGCTCGCTTGCAGCTAATAGTCGGTAGCTCAAGTAGATCATGAACAGAACGGACAATATTACACAGATAACTTCGGTTGCTCGAAATGTATATTATTATTTTTTCATATATCATAAAAATAGTTTGAACAAAATAGTCTAAATTTTTTTTAGGGATCCTCTTTCGTTAGTCATCATTCATTGCTATAAATTTCCTAGTGGGTAAGCACTGTTTTGCTCGATCAGATAACACTCAGTCCCTTGTATTATTAATCGAGTGGAAAGCAACCGGTGGCTATAGCTCGGCCTATCCTATTAAGCTAGAGTACAAGACCTCATTTTCGCTAAAACTATTGAGTGCTGAATCTTTTCTTCCTTTTTAGCGTGGCGAACCATTCTGCTTTTCAGTCATGAAGACACTGCTAACTGATGAAGCTCCATGGCCGAGGTCTCTGTGGGCAAACCGCCATTTAAATAAAACTCTTTTAAGTACGTACTCTAGTCCTCGGTTATGAGCTTTCGTATTTTATTGTGTTTTAAACTGATTTCACTCTTAACTAGGATCCAAGGTTACCAAATCATTTTCTTGCTTTCACAGAATTTTTTCTGTTTTTAATTTCATAGATTTTCCTCTGTGTTCTAGAGGTTCTGGATTCTCTCGAATCTGCACACCCACACACACAGTTTTTAATGTTATGTGATTAATGTTATGTGTATCAAGACTGAGAATGTAGAACCATAAGTAATTTCAAGACTATTTAATTCAATTGAAAATATACAATAACCTTTGCAAAAAACAGAAATCAGAGCTCATTACCGCTTACTAGTGCAAGTTAAGTCACCTTTCCCTGCACTGCCAACTTAAGCTGATTATCATAACTGTCCACCAACTGCACAGGCAGTCGGCATCACAGAGTGTTCCGATAGCAGGCTGTTAGGGACAGACAGAAAAGAGTAACTGACTTGTTACAGTTTTATCCGTTCAAAAAACAGTGAATTTATTTGAATTTTAATTTTGAAGATGCCATGATTGGCTGATTTCAGACTGCAGATCCACAGAGCGAAGAAGATGACAGTTCGTTAGATGTCTGTGATTGCGCACTGTGAATGTTATTAGACTAGGTGTACCGGCGAAAGTCATGATGACACGAAAAGTTTAAATTTCATTTCGTAAAATTCTAAAATACAAATAGTACCTTGTGTAAGTACTACTTTAGAGGTTTCATTTGAATGGTCACACCGTGTTAGCTTTAGAATAAATTGCTCACAAGACAGACAAGACTCCATTGTTCACTTGTTTGAGGGTGAAACGGTGGCAAGAACAGGATTGTTTTACTAAAGGTTAAAATGCGAGGAGCAACCAGCTTATAAGTGGACTTGCTCCAAGGCGACCTTTCAAAAGTCCCTCCCAATCGGGAATATATAGCAGTCTAAGCCAACTTCTGGAATCTCGATCGAGAATATAAATAGTCTTAAAAGTGAGCAACGAGAACTTTGATTAGGTCTACGAGAGATAAGAGCTAGAGGTCCCCGTGCCACCTAGAAAAATAAAATTCAAAAGACTTCGAGAAAACCCTCTGATCCAGCTGATTGACTTGCCTTGGTAAAACACGGACAAAAAGTTCTTGAACACCTCTGAATCTAAGCTCTAATCAGGTTTCAGAATGTAATGAAAAATTTGCGAAATTTTGATAAAATGTTTACGCATTTTCCATCAACCGTTTTATTGGTTATAGTCTCTCTCAAGCCACCCCCGCAGCAGTCTCCCCAGCTTAACCACTTAGGACCTTTTGTATTTATTGAAAGATTGTTTTGAGTGATGCTTAATGAAGTGTGGATTGCTCTCGAAATACTTCGCACCGCCAAATTCTAAACAAACAAACTATAAGCGTCCCAGCCCTTCCACTTTGGATATTCAGAGGACTACCGTTCCAAATCGTTTAGGTTTGACTACAGTGGCACCAATATACGAGAATAGCTGCTTCTCAGTTAAGTCAAGTCCATGTTCTTTTAGATCATTAGTATGGGATTTTCTGCACTTATTCGATCTTTTAACAGGGCAGCAAGTCTGTTGATACGTAGATAAAAAATAGTTTTGCATGCCGGTGATCAAACCAACAGAAGGGTAGCTCTCCGAGACACCTGCTTTGTCCTCCTTCGGACCCATCAGTGACATAGTTGCAGTTAGCTGATTAACTTGATTAAGAGAGTGATCAACATCAATGTTCTCCAAGCAATATCAATACATACTCAAGGGTAAAGGCTATGAGAATTATAAAATGATCACCAAAGGGAAATACTTTGATCTTCTGTCAAATTCTCATCTAATTTCTTAACGAAATGTATTAAGACCAGTCTGGAGAATTTGCAGGTGGACTTTGCGGCCGTAATTTGTTCAAATTGACGCCAGAATCTTTTTCGTGAAGGCCTTTCGGACATGTATGTTTATGGGATGAAAATAAAACTAGCGTCCCACGCTATTTCACGCAGGTGTCTCGGAAAGGTCGCCCAAGATGTCATGTTGATGTCTTGTGAAACCAAAAATAGTTGTTGAAAAGCCACAATCACAGAGACTGATTCGGTCTGGTAGCTTTGATCTGACCTCCCACGAAGACGTTCTTAGTGCTTCGTCACGCCTAGCTATTATTAAAAAGACACCAATATAATGCGCATCAGATTTATCAGTCATCCCGATTTGATGAAAAAATGCTGTCACGAAATTAAAAAAATAACTTTTTTTTTTCCAAATTTTAGCTGTACGTCTTGGGGGTATGTACGCATATAGACACTACGCTCCTACCGTATGCTTTGCAATTTTTGAAAACTTCTCTGGCCGAAACTTACCTTCTCCTGCCCGTGTTTGATTTAGCCGCCATAGCCTCCCACGAAGACGTTCGTTGGGCAGGAACGCGTGACGAACCCCTAACAACGTCTCCGTTGGAGGCTATAGCCGCCCCTACCGCCGCTCCCTGTTGGGCCGAAGTTCGAAGTAGACTGAGTTCTAGTTTTTTTTTGACCGGGTGTACACTGGGTTCTAGCAAAGCGTTTTGCCGCGAAAGTATTCCAAGATGGAGGAAGAAAGTCTACGATCAATGTCCAAAAGACTTGGCATAACATCGGGAGAGGTGTTGAAGAAAGCTGCTGAACTTCAGCGCTTAATGGATGTTCGTGGCTGCGCTATGGCTTTAACTAGTGTGGCTAAACCGGTTATTTGTCTGGAGATCGCTGCTTTTGGTTTAAATATTCCCGTGGACAAGGTAAGCTTACGTACGTGTAATATAGACAGAAATTCGCATGAGTTTAAATCTCTGATAATAGGCTTGCATTTTTGCAGGTTTGGGCTGTATTCGAAGTGTTAGTGACGAAATTTCCTTTTAATTAACCCCCATTCATTACGCTTTCACACTGTTCTTCAATGTTCATTCATACAAAAACCAGACGTAGTTAATCGATAATCGATAAAAATCGATAGGATAGTGTAGGATAGGGGAAGAAATTGAAAATTTTAGCCTCACTTATACAGGTCTGTCAACCCCGCCAAGTCTGAATATCGAGAATTGACAGGGAAGAGATGATAGATGACGTCACAACGTAGGACATTCGTGCAAAAAATACTTGTTGACTCCAATCATCACGAATGCGATGTCACAAAACGCGCGATAAAGATGTTGTTGGCATTATAACGCTTACTTCCCACTAATCACATTATTGCTTATATTACAATGGCATACAGGAGTTTATGAGAAAACGTTTGATGTTAACTGTAAAATAGCTCAAACAGCGCAAAATATTTGAAATTTTATTGTTGGAAAGTCGAGTCTATAAGAAATAGCAAACTTCGGTGATTAGCCTTGAGATTTCAGACTCTAATCTGGAGACTGGGAGATTAAACGGTCCAAAATCTGGAAGAGCTGGCAGGCCTGCTTATAGTGTTCATGAATTAAACCCCTATTTCATCCATGACAATATCCCTTACAGTTTTCCACATAGAAAATTCTACTACATAAAAAATAAAACAAATGCCATTATGTTATACTGTGTTGGAGTGTGGTCTCTTTTAGGGGCTAAATATGATCTTAGCCACACCCATATTGGTTTCCTTTAGGGGTTCAATTCACCTCTCTTTCTTATTGGACCCAACCCCCAGGAAGGGGGTGTGGGTGGAGAGAGATAAAGTAGGTACCTTGTGGCTCCCTTAAACCCTTTTTTTCTGTCTTTAGAATCTGGCAATTCGTCTTTCTGGAATGACGAAGAAAGTGTACGTTCATGCTTTCAAGACAATAGAGTGTGTGTTGGGAAAACAAAAGGAGTTAACCATTAAAGATCTGGCAGTGCAATTTGGTTGCATGGAAGCTTCAAACCTGGCCCATCAAATTTATCAAAGGTAGAAATTGTGTAAAGAATTTTTTAATGTACTTAACTTGACAAAAGATTCCTGTGTATTTAAAGTTTTCTTCTCTCTGAGTAAATCCTGTCTTATCTTATTTCATATACCCTGCATTGCAGATGCAATCTAACCCTGCTGTTAGTAACATCAGCAAAGCAGCACAGAAATCCTTTTTGTGGGCCCCCTACAGACTCAACAAATTGCCTGAAATGAGTTTCAAATTTCCCATTAACCTGATGGGCAAATATAACAATGGCTTTTTAGATGAGGCAATCATGGCGTGTGCTCAAATCCTGGTACACAGGTGGGGCCCAGATCAATGATTTCGGCACTGTTTTGCAGATGGATATAACCAGAGGTTAAGTTGCAGCTGTGGCCCAGACTAATTTCATAGATACTACAACTTTAAATGTTTCTGTTGTGTATTTAAATAAATTATTGATACAGTCCTCATATAAGCCTGGCTGACCAGGCCTCTGACTCAGCCTTTTGGCATAGGAATATTGCAAAACCTGGTTTTCAGCAAAAACAGTGGTTATAACAGTACACATTACAGTGTATGCCCAAAGTTGACTAATTTCTGGCTTACACTTTATTGTAATGTAACAGTCAAGGTGTCTGCCGAGTGATGGGTGTGCCAATCAATATACTGACCACGTGGCAACTGTAAATAGCAACAGCAAATACCCTGTTTCAACAGATGTACAATATCAGGTTACAGTCTCCCACACTTGCTAGATAGTGAGACATTTCACACGGTGCCGCACAGACGGGCGGATGTATGGTAACATGACAACCAAAATTTCTTGGATGGTTAGATAACCAAATTTTCTTAGCTGTGGGGCTCAGTTCATGCCTGCTTTGCTCACACATTGAGCTTTGCTTTCAACGTTTTCTTAACCAGGTATAAAGAGGCCTTTGTCAAGGATGTAGAAGATATCAGCCACCCAATATTTGTAGCAACTGCACTATTCACAGCTTGCAAGTAAGTGATTGTTTCTTTTGTTTTGATGGTAAAAACAAAGCATTCTCAGAATGACATTAAAACCTTTACTCTTAGGGTTAAGTATAATATAAAGATATCATAAATGCATTTTTAAGAATTATTTTTGTGAAAGAAATCCTGTGCTGTGACCATTGAAATGAAGCCTTTTCAACTGTAACTTTGCATTGCACTTTGCACAAGTGACCTATGTTTGTTAGGAAAATTACTTGGAATTTTTATCAGTTCTGACCTATGAAATCAAGGATCTCTATTATTTAAGTCTTGTGCAAGTACAGTTGTATTATTAGTATGTATGAAAAGTAGGATCACTTATATTTTAGTATTGTGCAAGTAGTATCAAATTTTTTTGACTAGGGTCAAAAGTAAGCCACTCTGAGAGTGCTGATTAATTGGGATGAAAAGATGTAAACTAGGCTTCATTACAACATGTTACAACATCATTGATCGTGGTAGATACAGTTTAACTTGATCAAGACAATGTGCTAATAAGAAAATAAAAATTGTGGTGGAAGTTTCTGACAGAAGCTTACAATATTTCTATTAACAAACATTTTTTAAAGGCATCAAAAGATTAAAGTTGACAAGACCAAATTATTGAATCTGTTGGCTACCAAGAGGTCAACATTTGACAGCCTGCATAAGAAAATGGAGAAAGTAATTCCCACACTAGAATCTGGTAAGCAGTCAGAAATTTATTATTGGAATAATAATTAGAGTACAAATATACAGGACCTAGTTTGTGAAGGTTTGTCAAAATTGGCCAGCTAGATCAGTTTTTTTTTCTAAATGATACGTACAGTAGTATTTTGTGTTGTAGCAAAATTTTTCAAAAGACTCATGGTTCTTGCTAGAAAGACTGGTGCCACCAGCCAGTTCTGACTTTTGGTAAGCTCCCCCATAACGAGGCCTTCTAAAGGGTAGAAGCAATAGGTGACGTGGCCCTGAAAACTGGCGGCAATCCTCTCAGTAAGCACTGGCAATTGGCAGAAAGGGAGGAAAGAGATGTGACAACAACAATCCAAGCAACAGGCAATCTCAGAAATGACCAACAAAGCGAGGGCGTATAGGTGACGTGGCCCTGAAAACTTGCGGCAATCCTCTCAGTAAGCACTGGCAATTGGCAAAAAGGGAGGAAAGAGATGTGACAACAACAATCCAAGCAACAGGCAATCTCAGAAATGACCAACAAAGCGAGGGCATACCCCTCCCCCACCCCTCCCCTGGAAGGCCTCTAACATGTCTAATGTGGACTTGTGATGAGGAATGTAAATTATCGGAGAATGTTAGGGTAGGTATTCGGGGGCAGGGTTTTTTGTTCTCTATTCTGGTTGGCATAGCATGGCAAAGTACAGTAATGTAGTGTGGTTAAGAGTTAGGGTTTGTGTGTCCATGACTCCCTCTATACAACAAACACATAACTACCGTACCAGTACTACTTGATAGGCAACACAACTGCCATTGCTGCTTAATACTGTTCCATTTTTGTCCAAGCTACATAACCTCCTACCCCCCTCCCCTGCTCATTTGAGAACCTGAGTCAAGAGAGCGTACTTACAGGCAATTAACAATTATCGGATGAGGTTGACCAAAATATCGTGATTTGTCAGTGGTGAGCAGATCAATTAGGCTGAGGCAAATAATTGATCTGCAAGACACTGACAAATCACAATGTTTTGCGTCAACTGAATTCAATAATTAATTTATCATTCGATCACTGAGTTTGTTTATTATTTGCAAAGCAATCTGCTATTTTCACACAAGAGTGATCGCAAGAAGGAGAAAAGCGTGATTGCATTTGCACATGAACAGAATATTATTTAAAGCCAAACAGAATTGGATGGCATTGTGCGTAGGCAGACTGTTATTTGTAGGCAGTTATTTGCAGGTCACTTGGTGGACTTTCGGCCAATGAAAAGGAAGAAAACTTTGCATAATTTGAATGATAATACTAGCCTGAATTTCAGACAATTAGTTCGAGTCGTTTTCTTCCCTCAGCAATGATGTTGCTGAGGGAGTAAAAACGACAAAGTAATCATCTGAAATTCAGGCTATGATAGTACAAGATATGACACCATTCCTTCTTTTTGCAGCTGTAAACAATAAAAGGACCTCCAAAAGAAGTTATGGATTTCTGGACAAAGTGAATGAAATTGTTGAAGGTGTGTTCCAATTTCCTTCCCATACAATGAGAATTTTACTTGGCTCAAGACTAGATGTTCAACTGAAAACCACTACAAATGTTTATACTCTTTATGTTTAACAGACCAGTCTCATTCATCAAAATTTTCGAAGACAGATGAAGAGGCAACAAGCCGAGAAGACAGAGACAAAGAGTATGAGGAGTGGAAACAAAAAATTATTGAATCTGCAACTAAAGCCTTGTCTGCAGGAAAGAAAACTGTAGAAAAACAAAAGTCATGAGTCGTGATAATACTTTCAGCTTGACTGGAGACTTCACCCTGCCTCTAACTCCCCACCACCCTCACTTTACCAACCCAGTTTTCAAGCGTTCCAGGGAATAGGGGCACGAACATTTTCGCTCAACTTGTCACCCAACAAATTTCAATGTCGTAAGTTGCAGCAGCATGTTGCACAAAGTAGACCTGAGTTCTACGTTTTGCAACAAGCTTTCGATTTTAACACTTGCGTGGCAAGTTGCTATGGATTACAACGCTTGTGATTGGTCGGTTTTCCTGCACTAAAAGCGCGGGAAAGAAAGCGCACGCTTGACCTCGGGCAAATTTAGGCAGGAAGCAAACATGCCGGTTGTTGTGGAGGTTGAACATGTTGGAACCCAAGATATTGAAATAAAAAGTGAAAAAATGTCAGAGGCTAAAAAAAAGATTTATGCAAAGAACTTGAAAAGCACCGATGCCTGTGGGAAACTTGTGGAGCAGATTATAAAAACAGAGCTTTGGATGAGTTTTGTCAAAAAATTTAAGTAGCAGTGCTCCCCTACTCAAGTTTCTTTACAAGCTAATGGTAAAGCCCCTTCTCTTCCCGCTAAGCATTTCATTCTCTCATGTAAACCTTTCAGTCTTATTGCGTGGTAATCCAAAGCCAAGGGCAGCTATCCCTCGCTTTCTTAGAAAGGCCAGCGCGTCCGCCATTTTGTTTGGCGACACATATTAACACACTGTTGACCAATTACAAGGCAGGATTTTCTAAATGAGCCCCAACTTGAAACATTGAAATTTGGTGCGTGACAAGTTGATTATCCGTCACTTGAAATCCGGAGTAAATCCCCCTGGCGGAGTTGCAAACTCAAACTCTTGCTTGTCTCCAAAGAGTCACTCACTAAAATAAGTTCTCATTCCTGAGCGGTCATTGTCAGCTTTGCTTTCAGTACAAAGTAGTCTTTTAACTTTGTACAGGGTAAATAACAGTGCATTTCTTAATTCAGAGTTATTCCTTGTAATGCACTAGTAGTGCATTCATTGTTGCAAAACAAATGCAGAATTCATGGGATTTCATACATGTAAATTTTTTGTGCTAAATTCTCATACCAACTTCATGTACATATTGGGTATTTTTGTACATATAGAATTGAAAATAGTATTCTTTTAAATAAAATTATGGAGAATATTAAAAGAAACCAGTTGCCATGGATTCCTATTAATTGTTCCAGATCAGTTTCAGGAATTTCACTTGGATTTTATTATAACTCATATTACATGCGCTGTGACTGGTTGAACACCTCGTTTGATTGGTCCCTACTGAAAAATGCGGACCTCGTTTCTTCAAGCCTACTTAGGTGTTTACATGCGAGCAAAGCGCCAAATTTGGGGCGAGAACAAAATTAAATGAAAAGGAAGTGATTGAGACAAAAGGAAACAAAACACAAATGCGGACAAGAGGAAACCAAAAACGATAGTCTCATCTTATACGACTTCAAAGATCGGCGCCTTAATCATGGCACGCGCTTCGAATTGATTCATTGACGCAAGTTTTGAAAAAGAGTGAAAGGTTAAAGAGTCAATTTGTTCAAAGATTAAGATAAGGACCTATGCTCTACTTTATAAGTCTTTTGTGATGGACTTTGAAGTCACAGGGGGTAAGGTCACAGTGGTGAGAGCACCAAAACAACCACAGGTAACCCATGATCTGTGATAGTACCACACTACCGTTCCAGTAAAATTACAGTGTTTGTATGGGGTAAAAATATGATCCATATTATATTGTATGGAGGGTGAATTTTAGCAAATTATCACGAAAATTCGTTTGAACATTAAGAACAACAATAACTAACCGTAGAGTAAGTTTCATTGGCCTTTATTTAGTATTTCCTGGAAGTTTAAGGATCGTATTTTTGCCCTATTCAAACACTGTAATTTTACTGGAACCGTACTGTGGTACTATCCCAGAGCCTGGGTTACCCTGTGAAACAACCAAAAACATCACAAGGATCGATCGACTGAATAAAGGTGACATGTATTCTGTTTATAACAGATAAAGCTGCTACAGTTATGTCTTATCATAGAAGAAACGCGTTTGTACGAGGCTACAATGTGTTTGCTTTAATCCAGTTGTATAATTTAGCAATATTGGTGTAAACGCCGTAGTACTGCCCAGCGCAGCCCCATCCCCAGCTAGTTGCGCCCACCAGATACCAGCGGTTGTCCTTCTCACATACAAGAGGACCTGGGAAAAAGCAAAAACAAAAGGGGAAGAAAATTGTAAGCTCAAGGAAAACTGTACGAGGAACTCAAATGTATGTTTCGAGTGCCGTGGTGGCAATAGCCTGCGAAGCAGGCGCTTGGAAGTAGTGGGTGAAAGAGAGAACGGGCGCACCCGTGTCTCCTTCTCGCGCGCCCGTTTTTTCTTGTACCCCCTACTTCCAAGCGCCTGCTACGCATGCTTTCGTGGCAAAAACTGCGGAAAGTGCATGTTATGTTTAATTCTATGTAGTAACAATTCCCAACAGAAAACAACGTGATATATTTGCTTATTAACGCTTATTAGGAGGTTAACAGAGCTAGATGAATCAACGTATTCAAAACACAATTGCCTGTAATTGAAATCCACTCTATGGTCGCATTTCTTTTAGCGAAACATTTTTCGGGTTTAGACAATCCAGATTGTTTGGATTTTCCTGCTAGCCGGAACAAACATCTGAAATAAGATTGATCCATACGGTAGCTGCCGGCTGCTCTGATCGTCTTCTCAATTTCAATACATCATTTGTTATTTCTTTCCGCTAAATTAGGCGTCTTCTCGTGCAGAAATGAAAAGGAAAGTAGCTATTTAACTAGTGGTGGTTCATCCTGGGACTCGTCAACTTAAAATTATCACACAAACGCATTGGACATTATAGTTTTAAGGTGAGAAAATGCAAGCGTTTTCGCTTCCTCCATTTAGAGTTTTGGGGGAACTTGAGCTTAATAAAGTTGCACTACAATCCTTTAGCGGCATAGAACAAAGGAGGAGTGTAAATAACTCTGGCCCGAACTAACATTGAACCGCCGTGTTTATAGATGAACGAGCACGATCTTGCAATCGAAATGCAGTTTCGCTTAATTCGTTAAATGGAATAAAAATCTGAAACAAGATTGAGATACCAATCTGAACGATCCAAGAGCGGAGGTGGATCGTTCAGATTACAATCTTAGATTGGTTTAGTCCTTAATGTAACGAAAAATCAAATTCTGGATCGCAAAATCTAGCCTGAATTTCATCCGATTACTTCGAGTCGTTATTACAAAGAAAACGACCCGAAGCAATCGGATGAAATTCAGGCTACGTAAAATCCAGATTTCGATTGGTCAAAAGGAATGCAACCAGTAATGATGAGGTTTTGAGTAGACTTTAAGAAGAATTTTCTGGACCGTCAAACTCCCTTAAAAGAAAGAAGGATTAGAGAAGTGAGCGAATGCAACGTGCCTTCAAAAATTAAAGGTTAGGGCTTATTTTCTGTGAATTGTTTGGATCAATTTAGGTTTCAGGGAAACTGCCCACCTACCCCTCCCCTAAGCCAACATTATCACTTACTTCTCACTTAGGGCAAGATGTTGGCTTAGGGGAGAGGTAGGTGGGCAGTTCAATTGTTTACCTCCACTATCGCCCTGACAGGCATCCGTTCCCTGACTACTGAAGCCAGCGCAGAGCATGTTGGACGTTATAAGGCCATCTCTTCCGTAGTTACTTCTACATTCTCCTTCCGATACTATCGGCACCTTGGCCTCTTTCAGAACAGACGATAATTTGCCCCCCTGACTGGTGCGGCCCCAGCCTGTGATGACGCATTCCGTCCCTGCAATTGAAAATATAATTGCTCGTTGGTAATCCTGTGCAGTAATGTCGTAATTTAAGGAATCATTGCTATCCTTTTCACTCATTGCTATCCTTACTCCAGCCTCAAAAAAGAAAACAAAACTCCAGAAAGGCATTTGGTTTCAAATGAGGGCTACGGGCCCGTAAAGAGAGAGGCATATAAGCGATAATAAAATTGAGACATCTTTGGTGCGACCCACTGTTGTACTTATTCGTCTGCTTTCAAGGCACGTCACTGTTCCATTATTGAGGAAAGGTTTCCTTCTCTACCTCGTGGCTCCATACAAAAGAAATTTCATTGGCATAGAAACCCCAATTACTCTTCCTTGAAAAAGAATTTTAGCTGGAGACAACGTTTTCTCTTACACGACTTGTTGCATGATGTTCTTCCCCTGTCTGCTCCATTAACAGAACGGGCGTTTTTTTTTTTGTTTTCGTGTTTTTGAGGCGAGCGAAGGCAAGCGGAAGCGAGAGAGGAGCGCGAGACGCGCACGAAGGGGATGGTGATAAGGTGCAGAAAACGGTCTATTACTTGTCCTCAAGTATAAAAAATTCTACGGAATATTTGCTTCTCCGAACAGACATTTTTGAGAGAAAACAGTCGTTGGCTGCCCCTGAAACATCCCCGGCTTGAAGTCAAAGTACAGGTTGTGTGAACATACCTGGAGGAAACTCAGCAGTATTGCTTTGTAGGCAGACGGGTGCCACACGGTCATTGAATCTGGCAGGAGAGGCCAGCTTTATGACAGCGATGTCGCGATCGTAACTGGCTGCAACGTATGATCCATGTTTAGTGACCGAAGTGATGTTGATGTCTTGTTCGTACCCTTCAGTCTGTTTAAAATTGTGTTCGCCAAGGCGGACCTGCCGGTTACAGATATCACCGTAAGAATTTAAACATAGCTTTTACGCAGGGGTCCAAGATTCCATCCCACAGTGTTAAGCTCCTAGATGAAGAATAAAGATTCTTAGGCCCGTTTCTTGAAAGTCTCGATAATTAACGGGGGTTGATCAATTCCCATATGCTGCTTATTCGTATTGAAAAACTTAAAGAATGGACGTTAATCTCTCAGGAAGGCACGTGAAGCACACTTCATCCTTAAACGTAGGGCCCTTGAACATATCTTAATTTGTTTTTCTGTTACCTTATCTTTCTTTTTTTTTTTTTAAGTAGAAACGCCATACTACGTCACTTGCGTCAATTGTAGCACTACATTTATTTCTGTAAATTCGTGATCTTCCTAATAAACCTGATGAAGACTAACATCGAAATATTGTAACTACCGTCTATTCACGTTGTTTGATCAGTCCTTGCAGTTCTCTTTTGGACAAAAAATTTATAAATGCCGTGCGTATTTAGAGTTCCTAATTGAAGATAAAATCTGGTTAAGGTATTTTGCGGCTATAACTGTTGCCTTGGTGTAAGGAGAGACCGCAGGTTGCCATGTTTTGGTTAGTACGATAACAATCTGCGCGGCTAACAGGATTAGCGGTCGAGTGCAGATACGCTGGCCAGTGCTGTACTGTTTTGGCAGCGGATCCCCGTGAATATTGGGAACAGGTCATTTTATCGTTTCCCTCCCGGCTTCACGTGGTGGTTCCGCCGTACCCCCGTGAATAACAACCCCGCCAGCTACTTAAGCTAGAACGATAAGGAAGAATGACAATTCTTACATACTTTGTAATTCTCGATAAACGCGTCAATGCTGGTAGGAACACAATGAGCAGCAGTGACTACATGGTATGGGGAAATCAAGGTGCCTCCACAACTTTGATCCTGACACGTCTTGCACATGATAGCAGCCTGCCAAGGCCACGCCCCTGGGCTTGATATCTTGCCCCCTACGATCTTACCGATACTTAAGAAACCCGAAGAAGGCGTCTTGACCGTTGTCGCTAAGGGTCGTACTCCACAGGATGCCTGAGGAATGGTCGTTGGAGGCAAGCTTCTTCCTGGAGCTGCGCCAAGAAAACAAAAAGTCGATCAGAAAAAAATGGGCACTCCTACGGGCGGCGGGGACCTATGATAGGTCTAATTAGCAAAAAAACAACTTTGCACGTGCAGCACACTTCTTTGTACATTTCTTTCGATGTTTTGCACGACTACAACGTGAAACGTCCAGAAACGTCCTAGCTATACGTTTTATGGAGGAAATTTCGTATGTGTTCGGTTTTTTCCTGTTCACTTATTTTTTCACTGTCGCTTATTCTCACCTTGGTGGTCGCTAGCATCTCTCATTTTTTCACCGCCGCTATAAAATTTCCATGTTTTTCTTCCAAAAAAATGGTCTTCTTTGTTTTTGATCTCTCGCTCTAGCTCTTTCTCTGTTAAAATTTGGTTGCTTCGAAGCAAGAGAGAGAGAGCCCTGGGAAAGTGGTTGCGAAACCAAATTTTCTTACCCATGGTGCTGCGTTGCGCGCGCGAGAGAGCTCCCTATCATGAAAAATATTTATCCATCATGGTAATGTGTAAGAAGGGTTTCGTTTATCGTTTTTTTTTTTTGTAAAATAGTTATTGATCGAGACAACCACGGTGGTACTAATGGTAACTAATAGTCCTACTCACTAAACCCACCATGATTATAGCCCGATGAAGACTTGTAGTACGCGGTCGAAACGTCAGTTCCCATCCCGGATTCTGACGCCGACTAAGGAGCCTCTTACAACAAAAATAAAGAATTTGTAAACAGCAACTATCGTTGTATACAAAACTCACTCATCTCGCAAATAAAGGGATGTTTTGAAGCACGACGCCCAACGCAAGTCGTATCCAACCACCTGCCACTGTACATGAACATTTCGGCACAGTCTTCGTCCCCAAAGAAATTATCGGGTTCATTTCTGGACCATTTAGTAAACGTTAAGGGTTCGCCATTGGCCCATTGCGAAAACTTGCCAGTGGAATCTCGACGAAGACCGATCCAAATCGCGTAGTCCCCATAGAGTGTTGCAGCCAGGTTTCTGACGAATTCATGCTCCTTATCGTTGTTGATGGCAACTAGATATCCACCATTTTGTCGGCAGCGGAATTTTGCGACAAGCCACAGACTCTTGCTGTTAAAAGCCCTATAGCACGAACTGTTATACCGACTCCACCCCGGTGGACAGTTCAAACCTACAAAATGTAATTACGCATAAGAGATCTCATAGTCTAAAGTTTATGGCTGCTGATAGCCAATTAGATTAGAGAATTTTGTTCTAGTTAGGGGTGGTCATTATTTGGGGGTGGCTGGGGGGGAATTTAGCCGTTCCCCCCTTTGAATATTACTTCATTGAAGTGATCCCCCTTAATAACTTTTGATGACTTTTGCGATCCCCCCCACGTCTTCATTTTCCAAACAAATTTGAGTGATCCTCCCTCTGAATCCTTCCAAAGTTTTCAGCGATCCCCCCCTTTTAGGTTCTCAGTTACGACTGATCCCCCCTTTTGTTCTCTCAAAAATCAAGTGATCCCCCCTAAAATCCTCCGCAGCCCCCCAGGCGATAAATAATGACCGGTCCCTTAGAGGGTCTTAACGGGGTGGTAGCTTTGACGGTTTGACGGTTAAATTTTAGAGCTTTTTACGGTTGACGGTTGTTTAGTGGAAATTTAATCGAAGAGTTTAAGTAAATATTGTCTTCAGTTTAACTAATACGAACCGTTGTTTTGGAGGTTACCTTAGCCTTTCACATATATAATTTCGAAATGCTTTCAGATAAAAGCAATTTGTAAGGTCTTATATTAAATGTCCAGAAAGAAGAGTGTTTTTGAGGAAAAGGAAACTGGTTTTTCTAACTCGAAGAGATTCTTCTCGAGCCAGAAATTCGTGAAATGCACCTGAAATAGTGAGATTTGAAATACCTTTCATTTTGACGGCTGATGGTTTAATAGCCCCATTGAGACCCTCTAGTTGTGATCATCACTGAAATACGCTATCGCTCTCTCAATTTTAAAGTTCCTCTTCCTCATAAGCCTTTCTCATGGCGCTCGAACGTACGTACTTGACCTTTGGGAGTAAGAGCCTTTTACAGGATATTGACTATGGTGAGAACATGGCAGGAGCCCCCTAGGGGGGTTGGGGATTGGGGGCAGACTTATGATCCCAGTCTGAATTTCTAAACCTGTCGTTTCCGGTATTGAGGAGGAAGCCATGTCCCTGTCGGTATTATACTATCATGTTGTGCGAATCCAGACCTTCAGATAGAGGGAGGGGGGGGGGGGGGGGGGGGGGTATCCCCACCCTGGGAAAAGGGGGGGGCCGGGCCCTTCCGTTCATGTTTCCTTTGCTTCCCTCTTTTTCCCCTTCCTTTGTTCGGGGGGGGTGGCGGGGGGGTGCGGTGGGTGGAGACAATTGTTTGTCTCCCATGGGATTTGCCGGCTCGTTTTGGGGTGCTGTGGGGGGGGGGGCCGTGTCGCTGTGGGGGGTGTCGGTGGGTTGGGGGGCAGCGCGGGGGGGGGGGGGGGGGGGGGGGGGGGGGGGGGGGCGGGGGTCATCCACACCCTGAGATAAGGAGGGGGCCTGGTCCTTCAGTTTCAGTTTCTGTTGCTTGCCGCTATTTCGCCTGTCTTATGTAGGTTTCTCAAGGCCATTTTGCTTCTCAGAATTCTACCCTAACACGCATGGCTCAATGCCCGTATTGAGCCGGGACTAACATCTTTGGAGTACATGTAGCGCTCAAAGAATATAGTACACTACTGCAATAGGCAACATCAAAACCTCTTCCGCAGCGAGTTTCCCCTAGAAATTGGCGGGAAGCCTTGGGGACGAGATTGGCAACATCAAGCACTGCACATACCGTTGGTTGTAGCCGCGACTTTTCTTGTGGATGGAGGACTGGGAAGGAGGGTGGTGGGTGCAACTGGCTGGGCTGACTTACAATAGCCTTGGATCATTTTGATTTCGTCCAGTGCGATATCGCTCATATATCCACTACCACGAACAGCCTCAAAAACGATCTGAATTAAAGATCGCAAATAATCATGGCATTAAAGACAAGTGCTTCGAGTTCGCTTCGTATAGCTTCACGGGGAAACGTGCTCCAAAATGATGCTAAAAATAAAGTGATCTGTGAAAACATGGTTGCCTGGGATACGTAAAAGAGTTGCACTCTCCAGATTACGGGCTCCGCTGCTACCGCACGGCTTGTTGAAACATGAGTCACTGTCAACAGTAGTCTAAAGGTTGATTTCCACTGACACGTTTTTGGCTACGCACGTAAATTTCAATCACGTAAATAAGATAGAGCTAAGATAAAAAGTGCTGAGCTTAAGCGAGAAGTGAAGCGAGGTTCAACATTTACGCTTACGACGCCCTTTCATGCATTGCCTCTAGTTTATTTGCGAACGTGAATTTTACGCACGTACGCACATAAAAATTACGCAACACTGAAATCAACCCTTATTCAGGGCTGCGGTCACCCGGGTGATCACGCTCACTGAACTATGCAGTAATTTGTCCGGCTTACCCACCTGATATTGTGCAGTGGTGTCTATCCTGAACTCTACACCATTCCATGTATCTGCCTGGTCTCCACTGCGTTCCCAAACTTGTTGCTCAAATGAGCCGACTTTGCCGTACACCCGCAAACTCCCCATATCGGCACCATTCATGTGGTACCGAAAAACGACGCAATGTGAGCCAGTCAAGATTGGCGACACAAGGCGCGCACGGTCATCAGGTTGCCGGGGTGACGATGCTTCTGCATAGATATAGTAACCTACAACAAAATTATTATAGTCCCTATTCAAATTAAATTCAGGCATTAACGACGCAATTTCCAGGTGGGTTAATTCCGAGGTAAAGTACAGTCAACTAGCTCTCACAATCGACCACTTGAATTTGGAAATTTATAGAAGTGGTCGCAACGTTTTAAGCTGTGTTCGAGAATGGGTTCTTTTACCTGTAAACGACTTTGAAATAAACTTATTGAAGGTGCTTGCTTACGAGGGCTTTAAGCAAAATTCTTAGCAGATGTTGTTAATCATATATCAATACATTAAGGTAAAATATTATTAAATAGTTTCTTTTTTATCATGTTTGACGATTTATTAGCGCTTATGTTATTTATAATACTAAATTTGACCAAAAAGTAGTTGTTTTTATTTAAGTAGTGTTGCCTGAGCGGTCGTCTACGAGAACTTGAGAACCAAGGAAAAGACCAGTCCTTAATTCACAAAAGTGGTCGTGACCCACAGAGCAGCTTAAGTCTATGCTAAAACGTGACGGGGTTTAACAAAATTCTTGTTGTTAATAAAGCTGGTCGCTTACGAAAGTTGTCGCGAGGAATTGGCCTGCCAAAAAGTTCTGAACTTTTATAAAAGTCTATCTTACCATTTCCTGAGAAGTCATTAGTTGGTCCCGTGGTTGGATAACTGCCCGTGCGACCCCTGTGAAGGGTCCAGTCAAACTCATCCTGGGTGTCTTGTGTGAACCCGCACCAAGTCCGACTGTCAAAGTTGCAGTAAACTTGAGCTGAAATGTGAGATATTATAGGAGATCAAGAGTTAAAGGCGAATTAGTAAAAATTCCAAAACGTCATTTCTGGTAAGTCGGAAGTAACTCGTTTAACCGACAAATGCGCTAAATAGATTCCTTTGCGTGGAGGGAAACGTTTGTTGGACGGCGAGAAAAATGACACTGTCTATAAAAGCACGATCCTTTTGGACTATCTGAAGTGATTGACATGTAATTTCTCCATATAATATCAATTCATTATCCAGTACGTGAATGTATCAGCCAGAGATATAACCGCAAATTCTCTTAACCAATGTACGAGTGAATGCATGGCAGCCAGCTGCAGAAAGGAGAATTACTAATCAGATCTTGGGTTTAAACCTTTTTGAGTAAAGGGTACTGAATTTGAAGACAAGAATGATTAGTTTTGTCTCTTTTCTCTTATTAATACCGTACTCTCCTCTTATTACTTCAAAAACGGAGGGCTATACCCAAGCAAGACGAAGATTGTATCCCTTCAGAATAAATTTGCTCTGCTACGCTTTGGAGCGAAGACAAATGGACACACAAGCCACAGGTGAAGGCTCGTGATGAACCCTCTCCCCTCCCCACTGCAAAACATACCTTGTGTGACGGGTGGAGTAGGTTGCTTAGTAGTAGGAGGGGGTGTGGGAAGTGTAGTGGTCACCACAAATTGTCTGCATCTTCCAGGTGTTAATCTGATCTCATCCAAAGCCATATCACCCTCCCATCCGTTGCGTTCAGCCTCAAACAGTACTTGATACTGAAATGAAACAAAACCAGTGTTTATTATTACATACAGCGGGAGGTGTTCCTTCTAAAATAAGCGCACTCGATGGCAAGATGGTCACATAACACCTAAACATGACGCTATTTAAAGGCCACAAGCGCCTCTAGGCGGACAAACTTGGCCGCGCCATCATTGCGAGACTTTGACATCAGTCATCGTAGCCTCCTTCATTGTTCCTACACACTATGTAGGAAAGATGAAGGAGACTATTTTTCCCGAAACTTCGTGTGCATATTAAGCACAACAGCAAATCGCCACATGGTAAGTTTCCTCGGTTTTTATTTCCACTTTCTAGCAAATTTCCAGACCTAAACCTCGCCCCATATGTTCTCTATATTTACTCATGTTATGAAACCGGTACGTGACACAAACAGCGAGCCTGAGTTACCTGTGATTTGCATTCAACAAAATTTTTTCGGTCTGACTCGGTCTCAGTATCCTTCAATGCTTTCTGCGTGATCATTCCTCTTGGAATTGTTCCAAGTATCCAGGCTCCTTCATTACATTTGGTACAACAAATCGACTTTCCCTGACCTCCCTCAGTTTTGTTATGCTCAGTCCCCTAACAGGATCGTGGTGTCGGTAGCTCTTCCTTTTTTCTCTCTCTTTCAACTCTTACATGATCACCGTCATTATCAGATCACAACAATTGTCACCTTTATCATCATTAAGGCTACTACCAAACTTTACCTGTTGGATCTGAGCTGCTGGAAGATCAATGTTTGCTAAGTGCCAAACATTTCCACGGTCACCAGTAAAGGCTCCCACTATAGTCCTCTGTGAGCCCCTAAGCCTAAGAACCCGCAAGGTGCCCATGGAGGACCCATACATGTGGTAGTAGAACTGAACGCAAAAATCGCCAGTAAGACTGGGGGAAACTAAATGGGCGCGGTCACCCGTCTGTCGAGGATTTGAAGCTTCGGCGTAGACGTAGTAGCCTAAGAACAGCAAAGAAAAAGATTCGTAATTTTTAATTACAATGCTGCTTTTTTGCTTAACAACGTTTTTCGAATCTTTTGAAAATCTTTGATGGAGTCCATGCAATACAGAACCGATCAAAATGCATGATGTTTCAGATGCTTTTAAGGCGGAGACGTGCAATTGAAAAAAAAAGAAAGTAACAATGACAACTTTGTTACCGGTGACTCTCTTAAAGGAGAGGGACCCTGGGAACGAAATTGTTATAGAAATAAAATTCTTCAAACGTCGTCCTGGTTCGTAGGAAACTGGCTCTTTGAAAAATGTCAAAAATGTTTGGAAAACACGTCAAAGGACGACGAAAGGAAGCAAATTTGAGTGCTGTGACTCCGCAACGTAACACATACGACAGCTCTAAGCAGTTTATAAGAGACCAGCACAAACTGCTTACCTGCTGAGGAGATATCTTTACTTGGTCCAGTGTTCACGCTTTGTGTACTATCCTTGTTCAATGTCCAGTCAAACTGGTCGTCACTTCCCTGGGTGAACTGACATAAAGATTGGGCATCGAAGTTGCAGAACACTGAAACACATTCATAAATGCAGTTTAATGAAATGGAGAAAAGATTGAGGTGATAAAGGTGGTTATTATAGTTCATGTCAAATGCGAAAGCAAGTCAAGAAAAGGCCGCATCTTGATGGTAAAGTCAAATTAGCGGCTTTCGCTTATCACGAAACGGTGAAGGTGGGTGATATATCCAAGGAAATATCTACAAAACGAAAATATTTCTTAACCCCTCCCTCGCGATCCCAAAATAATCTAGCTAGCCCCCACATATTTCCTGGCCCACTCCCCCCTCACCCCCGTGAGGACCAATTTTCTCCCGTCATCTTGGACGTTGAGACTGAAAGAGAGTTGTTAAAGTCAACAAATACTTTCAAGGGAGAGGTTCTCCTCCCCACCCGCCCATCCTCCCTCAGTTTATTTTTATATTTTTGCTTTCAAGATGGCTGCCACGATCAATTTACCTCTGAGCTTTCGTTAAAAAACGCTTGCTCTGCAGGCTAAGTTTTGCCCCATGAATTGTTAAATAACAATTGCGGGCTATTATAGTTCATGTCAAATGCGAAAGCAAGTCAAGAAAAGGCCGCATCTTGATGGTAAAGTCAAATTAGCGGCTTTCGCTTATCACGAAACGGTGAAGGTGGGTGATATATCCAAGGAAATATTTCTTAACCCCTCCCTCGCGATCCCAAAATAATCTAGCTAGCCCCCACATATTTCCCGGCCCACTCCCCCCTCACCCCCGTGAGGACCAATTTTATCCCGTCATCTTGGACGTTGAGACTGAAAGAGAGTTGGTAGAGTCAACAAATACTTTCAAGGGAGAGGTTCTCCTCCCCACCCGCCCACCCTTCCTCAGTTTATTTTTTTATTTTTGCTTTCAAGATGGCTGCCACGATCAATTTACTTCTGACCTTTCGTTAAAAAACGCTTGCTCTGCAGGCTAAGTTTTGCCCCATGAATTGTTAAATAACAATTGCGGGCGACAGGAGGAGCCCGCAATCCTAATCTCCAGGTTGTTAATGCGCATGTGTCGCATGTATGTAGCCAGCATTTGTTTGGACTTCCAGTAAGAATGGATGGAATGCACATAACGAACTTTGATATGATCACGCTTGTTTTGACCATCCGTCACGTGAAACGTACGCAAAGCACAGTGTTCGAGCAAAAGCGTTTTGAACTTCATTCTTAGTGGAAGTCCGAACGAATGCTGGCTACATATATGCGACGCATGCGTAATGAAAACCTGGAGATTAGGATTGCGGGCTCCTATTGTGAAATTTGCGGTAGCTCCTTCTGATCTCTTGTACACTTTGGTTTGCTTGTAAGTTCTATTTTATTGTAGTTGGGCAGAAATGTAACTTTGGGTGATGATAACTCGTATTTTGAAGCCAATTTTAGCCCCTCATTATTTTCGGTTAAAATATTTTTTAGAAACCAACGTTCTATTTCATTGCTTTAAAGACTTTCAAAGCTTTCTTATCTGGGTGGGCAACAAACATTTTTCTTTGGTCTTAGCAACACATCCATTACGGTTGTTTTGAGCTGTGAGTTATGTCAAAAATAAACGTCACGTTACCTAGGTAACGGATGAAAAGTTTATGGTATGTTCTGGACACACATTGAGCTTTTTACAAACTCTTCGCCACCTGTAAAGAGTTTTTGCAGTTACCACTATCCAGCTTTTGGCTACCTGTTTAATCTCAGAATAACTAAAACTCTGAACTGATATGTTAAAAGCTTGGTTGACTCTAATTGTAAGGTAGTAGTGAGTTGCCATAACTACTAATCTTAGACCATCACAACCCGGTCTTGTTTAATAATCTGAGTATATCGTCACGGTAACAGACAAACATGTTATTTTTCTTCTTAGCAACGCATAAATTAAGTTGTTTGTTAGCCTTATTAACGTCATGTTACCTAGGCAACTGATAGAAATCTGTTTTTACCAACGACTTAAAAAAACATATAAATAAATCCTCAGTATAAGTCAATAAGTCATAAACTATACATTGGCAAAAACAACGGGTTACAAGTTTTGATTTGAAAATGGGTGCTGTCATGAGTAGTTACACCAGTAAAAGGAGGAATAGAAAATTACGACGCCAAATGGTTAAGAAGATCTTCTGTGTTCAAAAAGTCAAGAAAGAAGTTTTATCGGCAGAAATGTCCGTGTTATCTTCGATGGAAGTGATGAAGCAGATGATGAGGAAAGCTGAGTTAGGAAGCGCGCTCGCTGCCACTGTAAATTCAAACGTTAATAGAGAAGCAATTTATAACACGTCCTTCGTTGAAGGGATGAGAATTCCCAAGGCCTCTTCTATGGTGATTATGAAAGAGCTGGGTAAACAGTTACGACGTCTGTTAGCGCCAGATCAGGAATCAGAAATTTCCGGTGGGAATCATGACGAATCCTTCGACGACGGTAGAAAACTTTATGAGGCGCCGGTGTCCGATACTGATTATGAAAGAATAGGGTACAAAACTGAGTTGTGAAACTAACAGGCACCTGATCGATGGGCTCAGCTGTTAGTTAGATGATCCTTCGTTGACAGAAAAACTGAAACTTCACCTTTGCTGAGTGATTTTGATATTTAAGGCAAATGAGCATATTCAAATCCTTCATTTTTCCTAATTGCCCTTCAATTTTTCAGGAAATGATTTGAAATTTTCAACATGAAATTATCTAAAAAGGTAAAATTTATTTTTATCTGTTTGTTGGCCTTTGTGGTTAAGACTTCGAAACGTTGCCTTTTTGTGTCATTAGTTTATTCTGAGGGTGTACTGTATACCAGGCCCTGTCAACTTCAAACATTACCTGGAACTGTTAATGTCCAACAAACAAGAGCCCTATCCTTGTACATGTTTCGACTTTTTTCGACCGCCGAAAATAAATGTAAAGGTGCCTTCCACAGGTCTAGAGTCCCGTTTGCACTTTCTTTTTTGGAATTTCACGATTTTTTTATTATTAATATTATTATTGACATCATCATTATTATTATGTCGCAGTATGAAACTTTGGAATGCTGTCCACATTATGAGTAGTATAGGGCGCATAGCGTAACCTACACCACTTGAGAAGCTATACTTAGAAGTAAAAAAGGTCGATACGAAACCTAATACAATCCTAAAATACATAGTGATATGAATCTCTCTACTTAAAAAGCCAATTTAGAATATTATGAAATTCTGATACTCTGTAAAACTTTCGCTATCTCTACTAAAAGCTTATACATAGTGATATAAATCTCTCTACTAAAAAAGCCAATTTAGAATATTATTAAATTCTGATACTCTGTAAAACCTTCGCTATCTCAACAAAAACTTATTTATAATAATATCAAACTCTAATGTTCTAAAAAATCTAAATAAAAACGTCAGCAAGCTTGTGTTTCTAGATTTCTAGAGAAAAAACAAAAACCTAAAAACTGAAGTCCATAGCGCCCTAACTAAGTATTTATCTTAAATGTTCTGGCAATGTTTAAAGTGTTTGAGATGACCGACTTCTGCATCCGCTCAAGTACGCTCCGTGCTCTCGCTCCAAGTAGCTTCCTCACCGACTTCTCTAGGTGTTTAGAGTAACCCCCAAGTACGTCAATTATTACATTGTACTGTTCAACCCTGTAACCATTGTATCTCTGCTTCAGCTCCCACATCATGGGCCCATACTTGAGTGTCTTTTCCTCATCTCTCTTAGCTCTACTCTCAATCCATGGGCAGCTCATTTCAATTGTGCAGACTTCTTTCCTCTCGTGGTTGACAAGTCGCGCGTCGATCCGATTTGCTCTAACTTCGTGGTGCTCTACATAGATGGGAATATCCCAAAACGCCTCACTCGTGGTGTTCTGGTAGGCTGGTTTTGGCATCACCGGTGAGTACCATGGTGGAACCTCTTCCATTAACCCATGCTCTCGCAGGAGCTCAAAAAACAGAATCTTCAAAGCTGGATTATGCCTGTATAGGTACTTGGTTTGTGCCAGGGAGGAACATGCAGCCAGAACATGTGCAACGCTCTCAGCTACCTTCCCACATAACCTGCATAGAACTTCGCCGTCGGTGGAGGTTTGCGTCTTCTCCTTTGTGTAGAGCTTCGTAGGTAACAACTGCTCATACAATTCATACATGCCCGCGATGGTATGTGTAGGGCATGTAGCCCAACCTTTTAACCATGCAAAGCAGCTGGTTATGCTTAGGTTCTCATCTTCCCATCTGATACGGAATAACTTTCCTTGCCACTTTTTGTCTTTAGCGATCTCCAAGAACTGCTTCTCTTGAGATTGCTTCAACAGATTCGCAGCTCTTGCTGCAGTTACCACCTTTCCTTCTGTTGTAACACACACGGGATTTAGGGTATCAAGCTGAAGTGTGATGTTGAGTTCTTCAGCGTACTTAGCTGCTTCCTTTACGAGCGACTGGTGGCCTGATGCCATGGCGTGTTCTTCAAATTCTCTAACTGCTTCCACAGTCTGGTCCGGGTTCTGATACAATTTCAGTAGCGATTTGATTTTAGTGATCTTGTACTCGTGTTCGACTGATCGCAGGCCTCTACCCCCTTTCTCCCTCGGTAGATATAACAAAGAAGTCAGGCTAGCTGGGTGCTTGCCACCGTTCTCAACTATGATCTTCCGAGCTGCTCTGTCCACATCTCTTAACTCTGATAGAGGCCAATGCTGTGTCCACATTAGGTACCGCAGGACCGGGAGTGCATACTGATTAGTTGCCTGCACACGGTTACAATCAGACAGGGGGCTGGACCATATAATGATGTTATTATTATTATTATTATTATTATTATTATTATTATTACAAATGATACCGGTAAAAGTAAATTATAATTATTTTACACTATGCAGAGCAATAAATTGCCTTAAAAGTAATGATGAGTACTTTGAAACTGATGCGATATTGAATGGGTAACCAGTATAGAGAGCGCAACACAGGCGTTATGTGGTCATATCTAGAGATGTTACAAATTATACGAGCAGCTGAATTCTGAACACGTTGTAGTTTTCCTAAATGCACTGTAGGTAGACCGAAGAGAAGGCTATTGCAATAACCAACTCGTCCCATAACAAGTCCATGAAGTGGTGTTTGAGCGGTATTGTTAGATAGATATCTCTTAATTAGCTGTATGTTATGGAGATGGAAATACGCAGTTTTACCGGTCTTATTGATATGTCCCTTCAGATTAAGATTGCCATCAAACCAAGTTCCGACATTATTTGCACCCGTGACAGGGCTTGGCTTACTCTTGTATCACCGATCATAAGGTGATCAAAAACAAAAAAAAAAGAAAAAGGAAAAAAGAAGAAGAAGAAGAAAGGACGACTAACAAAAAACTTGCCTGATCCTTTAAAAGCACTTAAAACGTCACTACTGCGATCCCATCGAAACATTACCCTAATACGTCCTTAAACAACAGTTGCCTCAAAAGTACGTGTTACATTGAGGAAGCACGAGATATGTGGCTTTCTGCATTCTTGGCAAAACACCCTTTGCCCTTGCACCAACGAACTTTTTCATAGTCAGCTCAAGTTTCTTTGACCACCTTCGTATATAGCACTTCAATGACAATATTACACTGGTCGATGTTATACCCCGGGTATTGCTTCCTCAGCTCTCATCGCAGAGGACCGTACTTTATTGTCTTCTCCTCATCCTTCTTTCCGGGATTCTCCATCCACGGACAGCTCATTTCAACTGCCCAGACTTTCTTTCCCATATGATCCACAAACCGCGCATCCACTCTGTTGGCTTTGACACAAGTATGATCCGCGTAAACCGGCACATCCCAAGAGGCTTGCACATCAGGTGACTCGTAGATTGGTTTAGGGTGTAACTGGTGAGTTCCATGAGGGAACGGAATCCACCAATTTATGGTCTTTACGTATTTCGAAGAAAAGTATTTCCAACGCGGCATTGTGTCGGTTCAAGTTTTTTGATTGAGCTAGGGCGGAACATCACGGCGATAAAACATGTGGAAGGGTCTCTGCAGCTGTTTCGCACATCCTACACGTTACATCCCCTGGGTGGTTCCGGTTTTATAATATGAAGTATACACTCTGGTCGGTGTTGGCTGCTCGCAGAGCTCCATTACACCAGCAATGGTATGGTACAGACGTCCACTCTCTTAACCAAGCAAAGCATCCGTTTTGACACAGCGCCTCGTCTTGCCATCGAGAAGAAAGCAGATGCCCGTGCCGTATTATCATTATTATTATTATTATTATTATTATTATTATTATTATTATTATTATTATTATTATCATCATCATCATCATCATTATTATCACGTTCTTTTATTTTTTTTATGACATGTTTGGTTGTTAAATCTTTCTTGATTATAGTTTCCCCCGATAAAGTGTTTAACAATAATAATAACTGTTGTGAAATTTGCCATTCGAATACGTCCGATCGCGATTTTTCTCTGTTTGTAAGTTTTATTTTTGTTTGCACTAGGGCAGAAACGTTTTCTTGGGAAGATAAAAACTCGTATTTTAAGGCCAATTTTAGCCTCTTGTCACTTATAGTAAAATTATTTGGAAGGTTATGTTATATGTAACTGCTTTACTGAAAGACTTTCAACAACGCTGTGTTACTTGGGTGAGCAACAAACATTTATCTTAGTTCGTAGCAACACATCCATTAAGGCTGTTTTGAACTCTTATCTGAATTACGTTAATGATTAACGTCACTGCGTTACCCAGGTAACGGTTGAAAAGTTTATGTTGTGTTCTAAACAAACATTGAGCTTGTTACCATCTGTAAGTCACCTGAAAAGAGTTTTTGCGGTTACCACTTCATTGCTATTCAGCCCAACAGCATGGAAGCCTTTGGCTACCTGTTTAATCTCAGAATAACTCAAACTCTGGGCTGACATGTTCGAAGCTTGGTTGAATCTAATTCTTAGGTAGTAGTGAGTTGCCATAGCAACTAATCCTAGACAATCACCACCCTGTCTTGTTTAATAATCTAAGTATATCGTCACGGTAACGGACAAACATTTTATGTCTCTTCTTGGCAACGAATAAATTAAGTTGTTTGTTAGCCTTATTAAAGTCATGTTACCTAGGTGACTGATAGAAATCTGTTTTTGCTGACGACTTAACAAAACACATAAATAAATCCTCATTATCAGTCATAAACTGTACATTATCCGAAAAACAGCGGGTAGCAGGTTTTGATTTGAAAATGGGTGCTGTCATGAGTAGCTACACCAGTAAAAGGAGGAATAGAAAATTACGACGCCAAATGGTTAAGAAGATCTTCTGTGTTCAAAAAGTCAAGAAGGAAGTTTCATCGGCAGAAATATCCGTGTTATCTTCGATGGAAGTGATGAAGCAGATGATGAGGAAAGCTGAGTTAAGAAGCGCGCTCGCTGCTGCTGTAAAGTCAAACGTTAATAGAGAAGCAATTTATAACGAGTCCTTCGTTGAAGGGATGAGAATTCCCAGGGCCTCTTCGATGGTGATTATGAAAGAGCTGGGTAAACAGTTGCGACACCTGTCAGCGCCAGATCAGGAATCAGAAATGTCCAGTGGCAATCTTGACGAATCCTTCCACGACGGTAGAAAACTTCATGAGGCGCCAGTGTCCGATAATGATCATGAAAGAATAGGGTAAAAACTGAGTTGTGAAGCTAACAAGCACCTACCTGATCGATGTGCTCAGCTGTTAGTTAGATGATCCTTCGTTGACAGAAAAACTGAAACTTCACTTTTGCTGAGTGATTTTGATATTTAAGGCAAATGAGCATATTCAAATCCTTCATTTTTTCTAACTGCCCTTCAATTTTTCAGGAAATGATTTGAAAAATTTTAGTTATGAACATATGTAAAAAGGTAAAATTTATTTTGATTTGTTTATTGACCTTTGTGGTTAAGACTTCGAGACGTTGTCTTTTTGTGTCCTTAGTTTATTCTGAGGGTGTGCTGTATACCAGGCCCTGTCAACTTCAAACATTACCGAGAAATGTTAATGCCCAATAAACAAGAGCCTATCCTTGTACATGTTTCGACTTTTTTTCGACTGCCGAAAATAGATGTAAAGGTGCCTTCCACGGGTCTAGAGTCCCGTTTACAACTTCTCTTTTGGAATTTCACGATTTTTTTTATTATTATATTGTTATCAACATTATTAACATTATTATTATTATTGTGAAAGGTTTGAACCCAGGAGTCTTTTCAAAAGGTTGAGTTTGATCGTCAGGGTGAACGGACGATTATTATTATTATTATTATTATTATTACAAGTGATACCGGTAAAAGTAAATTATAATTATTTTACACTATGCAGCGCCGCATAAATGGCCTTAAAAGTAATGAAGAGTACTTTGAAACTGATGCGATATTCAATAGGTAACCAGTGTAGAGAGCGCAACACAGGCGTTATGTGGTCACATCTAGAGATGTTACACGTAAACCGGCACATCCTAATAGGCTTGCGCATCAGGTGACTCGTACATTGGTTTAGATGTTACTGGCAGGTTCCATAAGGGAACGGAATCCACCAATTTATGGTCTTTGCGCATTTCGAAAAAAAGTATCTTCAACGCGGCATTGTGTCGGTTCAATTTTTTTGATCGAGCTACGGCGGAACAAAACGCCGATAAAACATTTGGGAGGGTCTCTGCAGCTCTTTCGCACATCCTACACGTTACATCCCCTGGGTGGTTCCTCTCTTATATGAAGTATACACTCTGGTCGGTGTTGGCTGCTCGCAGAGCTCCATTACACCAGCAATGGTATGGTTAGGTGAAGACGTCCACTCTCTTAACCAAGTAAAGCATAAGTCTCGACACAGCGCCTCGTCTTGCCATCGAGAGGAAAGCAGATGCCCGTGCCGTATTAATATTATTGTTATTATTATTATTATTATTATTATTATTATTATTATTATTATTATTATTATTATTATTATTATTATCATCCAACCTTTTTTTCTTAAGTGACATTCTGCTTGTTAAATCTTTATTGATTATAATTTTCTGCGAGAAGTGTCTAACGATAGTAATGATTATTGTGAAGTTTGCCGTTGGAATCCGATCTCTTGTAGAATTAATTTGTTTTGTTTGTAAGTTTTATTTCTGTTTGCACTAGGGCAGAAAAGTTTTCTTGAGTGGATAAAAAAGCGTATTGTAAGGCCAATTTTAGCCCCCTGTTATTTATGGTAAAATTATTTAGAAGCTTATCTTGTACTTCACAGCTTTACTGAAAGACTTTTTATTTAAAGACGCTGTGTTACTTGGGTGAGCAACAAACATTTATCTTTGTTCATAGCAACACATCCATTAAGGCTGTTTTGAACTCCGACTTACGTTAATGATTAACGTCTCTGCGTTACCCAGGTAACGGATAAAAGGTTTATGTTGTGTTCTAAACACACCTTCAGCTTGTTACGAATTGTAAGTCACCTGAAAAGAGTTTTCGCAGTTACCACTACATTGCTATCCAGCCTGACAACATCATGGGCAGCCTTTGACTACCTGTGTAATCTCAGAATTACTTAAACTCTGGGCTGACATGTGCGAAGCTTGGTTGGCTCTAATTCTTAGGGTTAGTGAGTTGCCATAGCAACTAATCCTAGACAATCACAATCCGATCTTGTTTTCCAAGGTCAGTATTTTGTCACGGTAACGGACAAACATGTTATGTTTCTCCTTAGCGACGCACAAATTTAGGTTGTTTGTGAGCCCTATGAGCCGACATGTTAAAAGCTTGGTTGAATCTAATTCTTAGGTAGTAGTGAGTTGCCATAACAACTAATCTTAGACAATCACAACCCCGTCTTGTTTAATAATCTGAGTATATCGTCACGGTAACGGACAAACATGTTATGTTTCTCCTTAGCGACGCACAAATTAAGTTGTTTGTTAGCCTTATTAACGTCATGTTACCTAGGCAACTGATAGAAATCTGTTTTTACCAACGACTTAAGAAAACATATAAATAAATCCTCAGTATAAGTCATAAACTGTACATTATCCAAAAAACAACGGGTTACAAGTTTTGATTTGAAAATGGGTGCTGTCATGAGTAGTTACACCAGTAAAAGGAGGAATAGAAAATTACGACGCCAAATGGTTAAGAAGATCTTCTGTGTTCAAAAAGTCAAGAAGGAAGTCTTATCAGTACAAAAACCAGTGGTATTGCTAGCTGCGGCCGCGAAGTCGAACGTTAATAGAGAAGCAATTTATAACGAGTCCTTCGTTGAAGGGATGAGAATTCCCAAGGCCTCTTCAATGATGATTATGAAAGAGCTGGGTAAACAGTTGCGACATCTGTCAGCGCCAGATCAGGAATCAGAAATGTCCAGTGGTAATCTTGACGGATACTTCGACGACGGTAGAAAACTTCATGAGGCGGCGGTGTCTGATGATGATCATGAAAGAATTGGGTACAAACTGAGTTGTGAAGCTAACAGGCACCTGATCAATGTGTTCAGCTGTTAGTTAGATGATCCTTCGTTGGCATAAAAACTGAAACTTCACGTCTTTTCTAAGTCAAATGGGAGCATTCAAATCCGTTATTCTTCCTAACTGCCCTTCATTTTTTTTACGGAATGAATTGAAATTACCTAAAAATTTAAAATTTATTTTTTTATTTTTTTTATTGACCTTTGTTGTTAGACTTTGAAACTCTTCTTTTTTGTGTGTCATTAGTTTGTTCTGAGGGTGTTCTGTATGCTTCTTTTTACACGTAAACACCTAAGAGTTAAGAAACACTCATACGGACGTGCACGTGTAGAAAAAAAATATATAAAAACCTATTAAGTAAAACAAAAAAACTGTAACTTACTACTCAAGAACTAACCTCTATTACACAAAAAATGCCATTAGATAAAAGTCTATCATTTAAAAAAGAGCTACAATTTGACATGAACATTCAGAAAAAGGTCACAAGCTATGATAGCAAGGAATAAAATAGATTACAGATTAGTAATAAATGATGAAATAACCTAATAACATGTGCAAGACAAAAACTAGTTTAAAGATTCTAAATTGAACTTTTGAGGAGCCTTTTTAAACAAATTAAGATTATTGGAGTTTCTAATGTATAGCGGTAGCTTATTCCACCGCTTCCTAGCTATAAATGAAAAGGATTGATGCATCCACTCAGTAGTAAAATGAGGCTGTACCAAGTTGCACCTTAGATTATAACTTCCCTTAAATTCAGAAAATCGGCAATGTACTTTGGACCTATTGAGTTAAGACATTTGTAAATCAACACCAGAGCTTGGTAATAACGACGGTCTTTCAAAGTATTCATGCCTATGAGATTCAGTAAGATTTCGTAGCCTTCATTCGTAGTTCTAAATAGAGTTCTTAAGATATAATATGTAGCTATAGCATCTTCGAGTCCATCGCTTTGTACCAAGACCAACTAAAACTGTTTTACAATATTCTAAATGCGGAACTAGAAACGTTTTATACAGGAGAATCATAGCGTTCAAGAGAACAAAGCGAGATATTCGTTTAAAGGCTGAGGTCTTGAAATAAGTTCTCTGTAACTGTGCCGAAATAGGTTCCTTGTAGGAAATCTTCCTACCAACGTAACGTCACTCCTAGTGAGAGTAGATGTAAAGGTCATACTTGTATGTCGATGAGCCAAGGATCATAGCTTGTTGTTAATTGAGAGTAAATTTTGTTCGAGCCATGTAGACAACGTCGACAAGTTCTTTTTGATCAAGAACTGTAGAGCTTAAGACGAAGCATCAGAATTATATCCGGTAGTGTCATAGGCATATAGTCTTAGTGGCAGGTTCGAGACACTGCACCTATAGTTTACATCGTTTATGTATAAGTTAAATAATATAACATAACAGAATGTTTATGTCCAATACATAAGTGAATATAAGTGTAAATATACATGACTTTGACTTTTTTCGTCTGCCGAAAATAAAGGTGAAGGATCTTAAAGTTTAATTTGCTCTTACCTTCACTGCGTACGGGTGGTTTGGACGTGGTGGTTGGCAGAACAGTTTGCGTGGTGGTTGAAGGGGCCGCAGTCGCCGGGGTATCACATCCTCCTGGAGCTAGTTTAATCTCATCTAGGGCAATATCTCCTCTATAGCTATAACCTCGGACAGCTTCAAACGCGATCTGTCGTACAAAGGAGACGTCTATTAGGTTCTTAAAGTACTATCGAACTCGTTTAGTCCGTAATGGGGCCGGGAGTTCTCCCACAATTTTCCGATATGTGTGTGCCGCCCGGGGTCTTAAATCCTGACCCCATAATTTTTTAGGGTGAGAACAACCGAAATCTACCCCTATTTGAAAGACCCTTCCTTTTCAAGGGAAAAACAAAGGATTAGAAATTAATGGTAGCTTACAAACCTTCATCAAATCGCTTTCATAATACTAACAGATTTTGATTTTCGTGTATTTACGCGCTTAAATTTTAGCTGATAAAATTTGGGAACCCTATCAAGGAACATACTGGGAACTCAATGTCAACAAGGGCAAGAATAATACTCTATTCAAGGATCAAGTCCCTCCAAAACCATACCATATCTAGCCTATATACATGGGAGTGCCCCCTTCTATGGTAATGGAATACCCTTTATAGAGCCACAAACAAACGTTCACTGGTGTGCATTGTTTCTAATGGAAGCGCTGAAGGGGAGTTCTCCTCTTTAAAATTAATGTTGGTTACTATTAGGAATTAAAGGGTTAATTAACAAGAACATCTTGTTTATTGAACAAATCAATGTTTAATCACCTTAAATTGCTCTGAACCTGTCAGGGAAGACTGGGCCATATACCACTTATCACCTTTGTTTCCGCTGGTCGATAAGACTGTGGTTCTGCTTGAGGCTGTGATCTTGTAGACATTTAGAGAACCAATGTCTGTACCCATCATATGGAAATGCATCCGGAGGCAGTACGGTCCCACCAGGCTTGGGCTGAGTAAGACGGCACGATCGCCCTCAACACGAGGCTGAGATGACTCAGCATAGATATACCAACCTGAAAAGTAGCCATCCAAGCAAAAATTCGAATAATTAAACAAATTACGAAGTTAAATCGCTATTGGTCACCTTCAGGAGCCCAGACTTTCTGTCGCCGTTTCATTTCTCTCAAGTTCATCACCATTTGCCTCTATTGATCACTATTGGCCACCATGTTTCAACCACTGGTAATCATTTGCCTCCGTTTTTCGCCATTTGTCATCGTTTGTCGCCATGCGTCCCCAATTTGCTTCCATTCGTTACGATTTGTCATTATTTTTCCCATTTGTCGCTATTTGTATTATATGTCACCTAACCTACGATACCCATTTCTCATTATTTTTCACAATTTGTTCAGAATATAATTATATTCATTCTCAGGGTAGCTTATTATCTTATACAATCAAAATTGAAGAATGAAAGTTTTTGATACCTTTTCCAGACATATCTGAACTAGGCCCAGTCTCCCCGCTGGGTGTGGCACCTTGGTGGACTGTCCAATCAAAATCATCTTGAGTATCTTGAGTGAAATCGCACCGCGACCCATGGTCAAAGTTACAATACACTGTTGCAAAAAGGAATTAAAAATTGTTAAAACAATTAGACAATGTTTATATGGCAGGACCTGGTGATAAAACTGATGAACTCCGAAGATAGTTATCAGGGTCACAAAACGTCAATTTTCGGAAAATGTCTGTACGACGGCGATTAAAGATCTAAAATTTTCGGAACATTTGTTCTAAAATTTCTTGCTTGCCTGCCTCTCCTAGGATTTTCGGACATCTAAAAAATGGTATAATTGCCAATTTCTAACGGGTTTTTACCCTAAAAAGGTCACCTAGAATTTTCGGGAGCCTTTTTTCTGGCTAAAATTTTCGAAAACGTAAGTTTTGGTCCCTATAATTTTCGGATCACTAGACTTTCAGCTAGGAAATCCGAACAGATGAAAAAATTTTTTAGGGGATAAAAATATGCCCATGTCTACCTTTTAAATATTAAAATACGTTCAACAATGCTATGTTTAAGTGGTTTTTCTCGTTGGGTGTCCCTGCATTTCATTGGAATCACAAACTGGGCATAAGCTTTTGTCGCGAGGAGTTTGGTCCTATCAGTTGTAGTCTCTCGCGATCATAAGTTTATTATTGTTTACACTTAATTTTACTAAAGCCTTCCCATCAGTTGTTGAAGCTATGTTATTGCATGGTGGTAGGAACATTGTCAAGTAAACAATAGGAATAAATTAGTTGAACGAAAAGTATTTGCTGATTCCGAGGGGATAAAGAGTGCCGGTGAAAAATACAAGTTTTTGCTCCAGATTTTTGCGTCTTTCCGTATTGCCTTGGCGAAGAGAAAATTAGAGTCTACATGCAGTCTTAAGATACTATGACAAACGTAATACACACCTACTGTACTTGATCCTGGGCTAGGGGGAGTGACTGTTTCTGAAAAAAAAAAATAGTAATAAAAAGAACAGTCAAACAGTCTTAGCGCGGTGGAAAATCTTTGGCGCCTTAAGGAGAAGTTTGTTTTGTTATTTCCCATTGTCTTCATCGTTTTATTTCTTTGACTGTCTGGTTATCGATAGTGTAATTCTCTTTCCCAAGTGAAATTGGGAGTCGGCCTCCGTACTCATTTCTAAACCACCCTGACAAGTGCTTGCTCACAGGAAACCTTAGGATAGGAATGACCTACCAGTTGGACATTTGTACAGCTTGTTGATCTGCCGAATATCGTTGGCACTGAGTGCCTCCCGCTGACCAATTTGAGCGCCTCCAGTCTGAAGTGTGGTGATGGTAGGTTTTCCATTGCTGCTGAATGCATGTGTCCCATAATGCATTATGCTCCCATAGTCGTACGGTTCCCCTAGGTGTAGTATTTTGCCTTGGGCGAATTTGTCAAAATTGTTTTCTCTGTCTGCGGAACAAAAGAAATTGGCTGGATTTAGCAAGCAACCAAGTTTCCTAAATCCTAGTGCCACCCCTCAGTAAATGAATAATAATTACAGACTTCTAAATTGTAGACAAAATGATAGGGCAATTTTTGGCATGGCTATACGCCACTTCCACATTTCCTATAATGCACCTAATTTGCCACCCAAACTTTTGCATAAGCATTGTTTTCAATTTCTATTGGGACGATTGTAATACCCAGGAAAAATGAAAAACAAAGGTTATGCAAAATTTTGGGGGGCAAATAAAGTGAATTATGGGAAATATGGAAGTGGCGTATTGCCTAATTCAAACCAAGGGGGGCTGGATACCAGTCTATGCGTTATGAGACAAACAACACATGACCCATATAGTCAGAAAAAGAGCAGCGCAATTTGCAAAATTCTCAAGTTTGGTGTTAATCGGGCCAACTTTTAAGCTATTTCAGAACTTGAAAATTTTCCAGATTGCAAGATAAACTGTCTGGACGTCTATAGATTTCTTAGTCAATATTGGAGTTTTTGAAAGGCTGTTTCTCGTTCAACATAAGCCCGATAAACACCAAACTTGTAGATTTTCCGGATCTCTGTTTTCTCTTTCTGCCTATGTGGGTCGTCGTGTTGTTTCCCCATAATACAAGGGTTCATACCAGGCCCCCCTAGACAGTAGTGAATTAACATCAAAGGCGCGTGATCTCTGTGCTGTTCAGACTGACCTTTTTCAATATTCTCGTACAGGATCTTGACGTAACTGTCTCTATCTGAACGCGACTGCTCGTGGAAGAAGCCGATAGCGTGTGCAAGTTCATGGATTACAATTCCTTTGGTCCAGCAATATCGGTGTAGATTCACTTTCTGTTCACCTCGAGCTGTGCGACCCACCGATGACGAGCACCTGTCAATCACGGGGAAACAATAGATAATTTAGCGACTTGAAGGTTCTGTAATCCCTAATCCTAACTTCCCTATAACTATTTTTTCGCCTCAATACACTGACCCAAAACATGTAACAGAATCACGATGGATCATGTAGATCGAGATCTTCAGCGAGCTTCAGCTCTTTTATTGGCCACGGCTTTTATTTTGTTAATGCGCGATGATGCACTCGTCAAAATTCTCTGATATATGAATGAAATTAAATCTTTTGGTGCATATACACAACATTAGTCCAACAAAGGCGAACATCATTATAACAGCATTGCTTACCCGGTCCCCTGGAAGAACCTTACATAATTTCTTTGAGTGGTCCTGGCCACAAATTTCACGCAAGTGTATTTGTGATAGTCGCTTATTGCATCGTTGATTGCTTGAATGCCTTGTTGTTCTGTATATAGCAATAAACAAGAAACAATAAACAAGGAACAAATGTATCATTTTTCCACTCGAAATGTACTCAAATCTTTCAGTAATATCCAGCACACTTCAGCAAGTCTGAAGTGTCATCTGCCTCTTTGCCCCCCCCCCCCCCCCCCCCCCCCCCCCCCCCCCCCCCCCCCCTTGGTTTCACTCCCGTTGCCGGGTGGGGCAAAGAAAAGGACGACATTTCAGACCACCCCCACTCCGTCATCTCTAAAAATAGGTTCTCTCTTCTCCGCGAACCTCAATAGTCGCAAAAATTTGCTCCTTGAGAGAGTCTTGAAAATTTCTGAAAATCGTTTGGGTTAAGTTTAAGAAACAGCACATGTGTATAATACAATACGTATACAATACTTACCTATGCTACTGTCTATAATATACGGCACGGTATTCGCAGGCCACAGACTGTGAGGGTAATTAATAGCGTTGCGGCCTCTTGGGTCTTGAGTTATAAACCTTAGAGTCTCGTCATCAGAGATGATATCACCCAAAAGTATCTTGGAGCCGGTGTTACCTAAAACTGAAGAGTTTCGGAAACAAAAAATTCGTTACTTGGGAATTCTGAAGAATTTTCATTTTCACAATACAATAGAATTTACTTAAAACAACTCCGTTTTAGAGTACTATTTGCCTCGGCTCCGGTAACAACTAAGGTCACTGTTTTCCGTATTTACTGAAAGTCGCTATAAGTAGCACTGAAAACGATTAAAAGGCTTTCAAATGAGACCCTGTTCCACGGGTCGTGAGAAATTTTGAACGAACAAAAACCTGCACGGATCCGCGGAACCGTTCAAGTTTTTCGACAGCAAGCAGTATTGCAATCTGTAATAGCGGAGCTCTCTCGTGCACGCGAAACGCGCGCGGCGGAGCACCATGGGTAAGAAAATTTGGTTACCTATGCATCCGAGAAATTTTGGTAGTCACTCGACCGCACGTCCGTCCGTCCACACCACAGGCACACAATATGAAATAACTCAATCGACAGGTATGGCAACTCAAATGCAACTCAAGGTTTTATTTGGCGGGAAATAGCATGGCCGCCCAGACTTTTAGAGAGAAAAAACAACAACAAAGTCGAGTCTTTTTCAAAGTTATTTTTGGTGTTTACGCTCACGCCGATAACAGAGAAAGAACTAGAGCGAGTGATTGAAAGCAAAGAAGACGAATTTCGTTGGAAGAAAAACAAGAAAATTTCATAGAGGCGGTGGGAAAGTGAGAAATGCTAGCTGCCAGCAAGGTGGAGATGAGCTGCAGCGTCCCATTATGGCTCTCGGCTGCAGTGAAAAAATAAAAGCGAACAGCAACACAAGCAACAAAATATTTGGTGAGCACATACGACAATTCCTCCATAAAAACAATGTGTAATGAGGACGTTTCACGTTTTAGTCGTGCAAAACGGCATAAGTGTAGTCGTGCAAAACAACAGCAAAGAAATGTACATAAAAGTGTGCTGCAAGTGCAAATTTGGTTTTTTGCTAATTAGATCTATTGATTTTGATGACATTCTCATTGCCGTACCCGTTTAGCTTAACACGATTTTATCCTTTTGTTTATAAGTATATTAACCAGAGCTTCGCTTTTAGCCCCGGCTAATTCTATGTTCGGAGTTTGCACGGTTCCCTGTAAACGTGTTGCACTGGTTAAAAATTCCTCCTGTCAAAAATTTGTCCGAACTCGAGCAAACGCGCCATTTGCTCGGCCAATCAGGTAAAGAAAACAACAATCATGACTTGCTCACGAATGCTTTCCCGCGTTTAGCGATGGCCACATTACATTGAGATCCGATGATGATTCATTACTAGACTTATTTTCCACACTTAATCGAAAATTTCTCTAATCTCAAGCAAAAACAACCACTTTGTCGCGTGGTATGCGATTAAGATGATCCTACGAAGCCTTTACTCTTTTTTGCGTCCAGGCGGGTCCAGACATTTTCTGATCATAACCCTGAATTGTTCTTAGTGTCACTGGGATTGCTTGGCAGCCAGGCGTACCATTTACTATAAAAGCTCCGTAGCTCAAACTAAATTTTGCTTTTTAAAATTAAATGGTTTTCACTTAGATGAGGCGATTCATATGAAATGAATGGGTCTGCCGATCGAGGAATACAGTGAAGGGGACCGATGAAAATATAATGGTTTGTATTTTTCGCGCTATATTTGACTACAGTGGAACCTCGATAGAACGAAGGGCCAAGTGACTTGCAAAATTTGTTGGCGAGGTTTCGTTATATCGAGGTTCTATTCATATATTTTACTAATACTGGAGTAAAGAAAATCGTTCGTTATACCGAGTCTTCGTTATATAGAGGTTCGTTATATCGAGGCTCCATTGTAGTGTGAAAAGGGTTTTCTAGTAATATTCCATAGGCCTTGTCACGGTTTTCGACGCCATCTTGACGAGTAGGCAAACGTGTGAGAAATTACAGTGTTTGTATGAGAATCTAATCTCGAATAATTTCCTTAAAACGGCTGTTCTGAAAAAAAATGCAAATTGTAAACTAAAGCTACAGAGCAAAGGGTTGTACTAAAAAATTTTGGGGGCGTACCTGTGCTTAGACGCTAGGTTTAGATTTTCCATACATTTGTCTGTAATTTTTCCCGGGACTTTCTTACAGACAAGTAAATAGAAAATTTAAAAACGTGGTTTTAGGTCTTCTTTATAGCGCAAGGAACGTTCTCAATTTTTTTTCAGTAGAATCCTTAGGGTTGAAGCTTTAGTTTACAATTCATATTTTTTACAGAATAGCCGTTTTACGGCAATTATTCGATATTAGATTCTCATACAAACACTGTAATTTCTCACGCGTTTGCTCTATTCGTCAAGATGGCGTCGAAAACCGTGACGAGGTCTATTGTGTGTATACATTTCTGAAAGGAGAAATAGAAGACTTGACAGTTACTTGAAGTTTTAAGTGTTTTCGATATAATTGATACCGGGGACAGGCACATTTAGAATGGAAACTGAAAGTTGTTATTTTAGAGTTAGCCTTAAATCTGTTACACTTTTCTTTGTTCTTTATTAAAGTGGTTCGAATAACCACTGCTCTAATTCTTTCGCTACCTACAATGATTTGAGACTTGACGAGTTATTTTTTGCTGTTACTCGGGGGTTTAATCGGCCGGATTTCACCTGTCGGAATTACAGGCCGTTTTTTTTTCGTTTTTTGCGAAAGGAAGCAAGGTAGCCGACAGAGCATATCGTGGTTGTGCTCAATACAGTTGAAACTGCACACGAGATTATTGCTCTCTGCGTGAGGCTACCTCAGGTAGGAACAGATTAACTTTTTTACACTGTTTTTATAGGAAAATATATAAATCGTTTTTATGTTATTTAAATCAGAGAAGAATACAAGTAAAAAAGGGTTCGTATAGTTTTGTGTGGTATACATAGCGCAACGAAAAAATCAAGGCCTTTTCATAAACCCAATATTTGTTTGTGGCCCCATCTTGCTAAAATTACCACATAAAACTTTGGTTTAAAGCCAAAAATTAGCGCCAAATTGTCTTTGCTGTTGCCAATTTGCTTTATTAGTGTTTTTTTTTTTGTAAATTAGTTTGTAAGAAATAAACATATTTCGTACAAAAGTACAATTCTTGCAATGCAGCAGATGGGCTCTTGATATTCTGAAGATCTCGATTTGTAACATTCTCTCACCAAAACGTTTCTACCTTCCAAAAACACCAAAGATTATTCATATCGATGCCAAGACAAACTATTCCTACGGCTTCGCCAGACATGCAAAAAAGAAATATAAAATATGCCGGTAAGAGCGGTTTTTAAGGGCTTAATTATAGATGCACTTTCGACAAAACATCATAAATAATGTATGTGGTCAGGAGCTCTCGTTTACTCAATGGAAGAACTTCCATTCAATTAACAGGCCGACAATGTGAAGCAAACATGGTTCTCTACTATAACTCGAGGATTCCTCTTTAACTGTTACCCTAGAAGCTCGGATTTTGCTCGATGGAAAATCCTCTACACGAAGACTTTCTGAAGAGAGAAGAAGAAAAAGAGAGATGGATAGAGTATTGGGCCGTTTTGAGAAATTCAGTTCTATACTTTTACGATGAACGGACTGATATTTGTCACGAGTACTGTGACAAAATCGAACTTACCCCAGACGCGAAATGTTTTACGGTTAGACGAAAAACGTACAGTCATAGATTTAAACTGATCACCGATGAAGGAGCATGGCTATTAAAATGCCACACAAATATACAAAGACATCGATGGATGCATGCGATCGAGTTAGCAGTGCGAGAACTTTCTTCAGAGAGAACGGAAATCGATTCAGCTGTTGGTGTTCCTCGCGGGACGTACAGCCACTGCTACGAGAAAGATTTGCTCGGAAGAAGGGTTCAAAGAGAAGCGCGAAAACGAGACGCCGCAGCCACGGCGTGCGAAAGCAACAACAACAGCACNGACTGATATTTGTCACGAGTACTGTGACAAAATCGAACTTACCCCAGACGCGAAATGTTTTACGGTTAGACGAAAAACGTACAGTCATAGATTTAAACTGATCACCGATGAAGGAGCATGGCTATTAAAATGCCACACAAATATACAAAGACATCGATGGATGCATGCGATCGAGTTAGCAGTGCGAGAACTTTCTTCAGAGAGAACGGAAATCGATTCAGCTGTTGGTGTTCCTCGCGGGACGTACAGCCACTGCTACGAGAAAGATTTGCTCGGAAGAAGGGTTCAAAGAGAAGCGCGAAAACGAGACGCCGCAGCCACGGCGTGCGAAAGCAACAACAACAGCACTCTAGAGGAACTGAGTATGAATCTAAAACTTGAACAAAGGGAAAACAAGAGTTTTTCAAAAACAAGGGCTTCTAGGAAGAATTTCAAAGGAGAGAAACCACGGCAATTCAAAGATAAGCACAAGAACTTTGCCTTCGAAACATTACAATGCGAAAATTCCACAAATTCAGATCTTGGTATTCCAGTGGAAAATCTCGGCTTCTCCGATGATGAAACCTCGACCGAAAGCAAAGAAAAGACTTGCAGTGGCTTTGATATTCCCGTAGCAAAATTAATCCAGGTTGAGCCTAAATGATTTACCGGAAGGAGATTGAATTCGTCTAATTCGTGGCAGTTGGAAGAGTTTTGGAAAAAAACTGAAAAATAATTAATATTGATTCCAACGTGTCAGATTTCCTCACGCTTTTCCGCTCTTTTTGCGGGTTGATAAAATCAATCTTTTAGTTAGTGTAAATGAACTCGCAGTTGGAGCTATTGATCGTTTAATTTCGAGATTCATTAGAAGCATGACAAGCTACCAAGAAAAGCTTTCAATTTTAGCAGATGTTTGTATTTGTGCCGGTTGTCTGCTTTATGAATTAGAAGGGTGCAAATGCAGCAGTCTAATTGGCAAAAGTGTTGTCAACAAGCGAGGCAGATTGCCAAAACGAAATGCATTATTATCAAAATTTTTTTCTATGGGTCGACGGAACGTTATACTAGTTATTTTTACAGAGAAATGAATCTTAAATATAGAGTGCAAATTATTTAATTTGAGCCGTTTTTGACAAATTTTAATTTTTTTTTTTTTTTTATAAAAACAAGATAACTAATACTGATCAATTTTAAGTGCGTGTAAATATACAATTAAATTCAATTCGGAGTTAACATAAAACGAATATTCCAAACTAGACGGGTTTGTATCTTTGAGTTTCATAATCCGATCAACGATGTATTAGACTACGAGTAGTCCCCATTTTTCCTCAGGGATAGTAGAGCGAGCGAAACGCGAGCGCACCTGTAAATCACCCCACGCGAGAAAAGGCGACACGCGGAGTGGGGTGATTTTCACGCGCGCTCGCGTTTCGCTCGCTCTACTATCCCTGAGGAAAAATGGGGACTACTCGTAGTCTAACGACGTACCGTAGAGCAGATAAGTGTACAGCCTGAGAAAACAGCCGACATTTGGCGACTCCACTACTGGTTCCCCCGCAAAATAGACGTCGCATTTCGCGGGGGAGGTCGCGAAATGATGGTTGTATTCTTAGGCTTCCAAAGTGTATCGGTTAAATGACAAAACGTTTCTTTGTGCTGTTGCTTTTTTTTTGTAATGTCTCTACGAACAAATCGCTTTTTACAATTTTTATCATACGGTCAAAGTCTGGTTAATTTTGGTGAAAGTTAATCTTTACAACTGTACTGTGGTTTAAATTAGAATTGTGGATAACGAAGACAACAAATGGACTGATTCAGTATAAAAAAGAAAAGTGGAAATCACCGACATCTTAGAATTTTTGGACGATACTTTCAACTCACCGGTAAAATTTCAAGTAGTTTACACTACTACATGAGAAATTTCTGCAATTTGATTGGCTTAGAGCAGTGGTATTTCAGCGTAATTTGAAATACCTACATGTGAAAATTACAAAATTTTTGCAGGTAGTAGTATAAACAAATAATAGCATGATTTGTACGTGATATTTGGCACAAATACCACTCGTGATATTTCAAAATTGTCTCAAATTTCACTCGCCAAACGACTCGTGAAATTACGTACAACAATTTCGAAATATCACTCGTGGTATTTATGCCAAATATCACTACAAATCATGCTATTACCTATACTAATCCTCTAAACTTTAAAACTGATAAAAAATCTTATGCTTTCTATTCATCACAAAACCACTGATTTTGCTATGAGTTTTTGTGTCCAACCGTTACCACACTGAAAAAGCGGTCTTTCTAACTGGGTGTGAATTGAGAAAGAGTCTTTGAATAGTGGCCTCAGACACTAAAAAAGTTAACAAGAACGAATCTGGAATATTGATAATCATATGACACTAAAGGGCTGTTTACATGGAGGGAGGAAGACCCTAGAAGGTGGAATAACTTTACGTTGGGTTTACATGCAGAAATTTCGGCCCGTGAGTTGTACAAGTAGAGAAGGTTAGAGAAGGGATTAAAAATGACGGACGACAAAATCAAAAATGCAATTTGGGTCGTTCTGCTGTCTTTACTGACGTAAATCACTACCTTTCAGCTGAATTAACACAATAATCTGCTCGTGGATTACTCCAAACGAAATGGTCGGCCTTTATAGCCGTAATTAGTCACTGAACGACCGGCCGACATTTTTGTCGCGTTTGTACTAACGAAAGCAGTTTACATGGTGCTAGGATCTTCCTAGTGCTAGGATCTTCCTACCTCTCAGCTATGAAGATCCTAGTGCTAGGGACAAGTACAGCCTTTTGCATGTAAACTGAATACAGAAAAAATATGGCGCTAGGATGATCCGCCCTCTACGATCTTCCTGGTACTAGGATCTTCCTCCCTCCATGTAAACAGCCCCTAAGAAAGTCTCAATAAACTGCCTAGGCATTACAGGGCGAAACAAGAGGTAAAAGTAGGTCAAGTGCCACACCTTGATTAATGTGTGTCTCGTCGCTTTCTGGAGTGATTCTTGACAAGCCTTTTGGGGAAAGAAAGTTATAAAGTTAGCACACATAGACATTTTAAAGAGACATCGTTGTAAAATTTACCTTTTCCTGTCATATTAGTCTCAATCGAAACGCTAACTGTCGAATTATCTTTGCACTTTAGTGCAACGGAAGTATGGGGTCTTGCCTTTCGTTTCTCGAAAATCAAAAAGACTTAAAAACGTTAACCACAAGTACACTGTGCATAGTTTCCTTTCTTCTCAGTCTAAGCAAGGGAGGTGACCAAGGGTTTTAGCGCCCTTTCCTTGTTTTTTCGCGTTTCGGGGGACTTCCTGTTCCTTCCTTTCCCCCTTTTCATGGGCTAGTCACAATCAAAGCAGAAACATTTGTCATCAACCTAGTTTTTAATCGATGTTAGTCAAGACTTACATGAAAGTCTAGCCTACAAATGCGCTTTCTGCCCCTTCAGTGCGAGGGATAATCTTAATTTGGTTTTCCTAATTATAACAGTTCAAGGCACCTGTCTCTGATAATCCTACCCTACGAAAAAGGTGCCCGCAATAGAGATTGTCCCTTCATGCACCACGCCCCTCAAAATTACGAGAACTCACCTGTTTTCGCCGGAGCCCCATCTGAGGGAGAAGAAGGGACTGGGAAGAGACAGACAAGTTAATGTTAATATTAATATTTAATAATCCAGAAAAAAAATTAGTCTGCGCCAGTAAATTTTTTCTGGTTAGTTTTTAAAGAACGCGCGAGGGGAACGTACGGACGAGCGAATCCTCGCAATCCGTTCTTTCGCCCAAAAAACAGCCCTCTGCTACGAACACTAAGAACACTCTCCCGTAAAAAAACTAGCACTATTTTGCAAGACTATATAAGGTAAAAACGTGGCCTGATCCCACAAGCCCAAGGCCCTAAAAGCGCCTGCGTGGGAGGCAACCTCGTCCCACTGTTCCCTCCTTCCGGGAATTACAGTCGACTCCCGATAACTCGAACCCTCGCTAACTCGAACCTCGCGCTAATTCGAACCAAAATCGATTTCCCCTGGATTTCCGTCATACTTTCACTGTAATTTTACCCTTGGTAAATCGAACAGTCGATAACTCGAACTCCCGCTAATTCGAACCAATTTTCGTTCCCCCTCCGGTCATTTTCTATATAATTTTACCTTCGATAACTCGAACCTAGCTTGTTCCAAGCGTTCAGATAGTGGAGAGCGGTGTGAAGTAAAGAAAGCGATGAAAAGTAGAGGGGGACTGGGGAGAGAGGCTAACTCGAACCATGTTTTGAGCCCTTAAAAAGTCGGGAAAATAGCCGTCTACTGGCGTCGGAAACATTGAATTTGGATTTCCTATTGACGTGTTGTAGGAGTATAGTGGAGGCTGATGTTGATTGTCACAGGCTAACGTGAAGCAGCTTTACTTCTCAAAACAGTAAAACGCATGCTCTATCTAGGCTATGTTTTGTTACGTTACGTTCTGGTTTATAATCTAGAAGTATCTTTTAATTTTCACTTGACATTTCTAGAATTAATGAGTTTAAAATGTTCACTGTGCAGTAAAAACTGTTTTTTACCTTACTCTCGGCTATTTTCGTCGAGCTCCAGATAACTCGAACTTTTTTCGATTTCCCTTGAAGGTTCGAGTTATCGAGAGTCGACTGTACAAGGTTGCGTGAGAGGTTTTGGAAATAAGGCCTTTTTTGTCTTAAACGGCTTAATCTGGAGGGGACCAAAACATTATTCTTTGTAAGTTTGATTGACTAGGCTAATGAACTGGAAAGGTTACAAATTATGTTTTGAATCAGAGTTAATCGGATCTCCAGTCTGGGTGGGGGAGACAGTGGAAACATGCCAATGTAGTTCACACTGCAAGAGCCAAGTTTATGGAAGAAATCCTGGTAAGAATATATTTAATGGGGACTCGTTACCGTCGCCTGGTACTTTGATTGGTTTTCAGATATTTCACGGAAAGAAAGTTAATTGTTTGCTCTTATTTGGGCACTGGCGATAGTTAAAAAAATAGTGATAGAACTTTGTTGAAAGGTATGTCTAATGTTTCTTTCGGCAAAAATCCAGAACCTGAACAACGTCCCACGTGTTTGCACGTCCGATTCTTTGCTCTCTATCTTAGTTGGTATCCTCCATTTTATTGCTGTCAGCTATGTTGTGCACAAATTAACCTGAATATCAAGCCCTCCTTAGGAACAGGGAGGGAAATTTTAACGGGAGAAGGCTTTTCTAGCTCTATCCTCTCTACCCCACCTCTCTAGGTAATCCTGTCGCTCGGCTATGAAACATACGGTATGTTCATTGAACAGGAAAGTTGAGGGAAGGGCTTTGAAATGACATATCTTAGCCTGTTCCAGGCGATCAGATAGTAGAGCGCGGGAGAAAAATTCACGAAGAAAAATNNNCCCCCCCCCCCCCCCTCCCCGTTTTCCCTGTGTACGATCTAACTCGCTCCCCACCATCTGACTGCCGCGCTCTACTATGTGAACGCCAGGAGCAAGCTAGACATTGTTTTCCTACCGTGTTTGATGCTGAAATACGTAGGGTTTCCAGAAATCAAAACTTAGCGAACAGGAGCGAAGTAAGGTGAAGTTAGCAGACGCTGATTTTGAGAAAGCCCGTTCACTAACTTTGGACATTTAAAAGCTTTCATGTATAAATTCCCGTAGGGGGCGATATTATGTATCACTTTTATACAATGTTTGCATCCCTTTGTATACGGCTTCTTGAGGTCCTGCTTCACGCTGCAACATGCATTCCATCAAAATCTCAAGACAAGCTGCTAGAACACCCGTCTATAAATGTAGCAGGAACTGTTTGCATTTTCTCAGCTAGTTAAATTAAGTAACAGTTCAAGGTGAAGGATTAGTGTAAACTCATCGAAGTAACACTACTGTTAGTTTCATTTGGTTGATAACGAATGCATGAAGTTTTGTAACACTTTATCTTTTTTACTTACCTGGTCTTATTAATACATTTCCTTTGCCAGGTGAAACGAAAACTGATAGAGAACAAACAAGTGTTGCCAAGCTTAGAGTTAAAGCACAGAGCGCCATGACTGACAACTACACTGGACCCTCTTTCTTTGTTTCGTGATTAAAGAAGTAAAGTGTTTTCTATTTTCTATGCAATATAATAAAATGACCTTGAGAATTTAAGCTCGTATTACATTACCTTGTATTTCCTGCTGAGTGACCAACATTTGAGACAAAGGGGTTGTGTCAAATGACCCGCGGTTTAGACGATGTGAGTTGCCCCGGGGGGAAGGGGGGAAGCGGTAGACCCTCAAGATATACTCCTGACAAAATGTCCCGGAGGGGGGCTACTCGAGAAATATTTGGGTAGAGGTGAGCTGCTGAAGTTTTGAAACCCTGACTCTAATTAGGAAAAAACAATCCTTAAATGCATACTCTGTTTAGGACAACACCCTCAATTTTATTACCCTGTTTAGGAAAAAGGACAAAATGAACGCCGCCTTGTTTAATTGGCATTTGCAATTGAGAAAATTCACGTTATAGTCATTGCTTTTGAAGATATGGAGTACAAACAAATTTCACAATATAAATCAACTCAATTTTGCAGGCAATACCCTTTTTTATACCTTTAGGACAGAGTCGCAAGAAATTGTAAAAAATTTTCACCCCATGCTGGTTATTTCCAGTGGTCCATCCCTTTGATACTACATATGAGACATTTTTAGCACAAGTATTATTGCAAACATATGAAAGATTATTTAGAACGAAGAATTTTAAAGTTTTCCCATTTTTCCTCTCTTGGTGTCATTTTACCCAACTACTTAAAACTTCCCCGGTCCAGGCCCACTGAGTATTTCCTGGGTAACATGACAGTTGCTGTCAGTGTAGACGATGTGAGTTGTAGCCCCGGGATTGAAAAACAAACAAAATGAGATAATTTTCATGTTCATATTCTGTTTTTAATTAATCAGACGTTACGTACGATACAAACCATAAAATTGGAAGCTTAAAACATCCTTCAAACATCCGCCAGTTAAAAGAGCTAAAAAAACATTGCGATCTAGAACAGACTGGATATCATTTAATTAAATTTGTCAGAGTAATTATAAGAGCTTGGATCCATTCTTATCCGGGGATTTTTAAACGTTGAATTTGCAATAAAAATATATAAATCTTCTTTGTTCTCTCACGTTTAACAGAAATACTAGGGAGAACTCAATTGGCTGGTTTGTTTGTTTTTTTCCTCTTGACATTACTTATTTGGGTTGATACTCAAAGTACAAGAGGAATTTCGATGGCATATCACAGCTAGCAAAATTGCTACAGACCTGCTTAAAACTTCCCCGTCCCAGGCCCATTACTGAGTATTTCCTGGGTACGTGTGCGAGTTGCTCTCAATGTAGACGATGAGAGTTGTAGCCCTGGGGTTGGAAAACAAACAAAATGAGAAAATTTTCATGTTCCTGTTCTGTTTTTAAAATTAACCAGACATCACATACGATACAAACCAAAAAATGGGATGCTTAAAACATCCTTACAACATCCGCCAGTTAAAAGAGTTTAAAAAAAAACATTGCGATATAGAAGGGATTGGGTATTACTATATCTATTTAAATTTATCAGAGTAATTATAAGAGCTTGGATTTATTGTTATACGGTGATTCTTAAATATCGAATTCGCAATAAAAATACATAAATCTTCTCAGTGTTCTCGGACGTTTAACAGAATTTCTAGGGAGAACTCAGTTGGCTGGTTTGTTTGTTTGTTACGGTTTTTTCTCTTGACATTACTTATTTCCTGGGCTGAAACTCAAAGTACAATTAAAGGATTTTCGATGGCATTACAGGTAGCTCAATTGCTACGACCTACTTAAAACTTAATTCCGCGGTCCAGACCCACTGAGTATTTCCTGGGTAACGTGTGAGTTGCTCTCAATGTAGACGAAGGGAGTTGTAGCCCCGGGGTTGATAAACAAACAAAATAAGATAATTTTCATGTTCCCGCCCTGTTTTTAATTAATTGGACATCACATACGATACAAACCAAAAAATGGGATGCTTAAAACATCCTTACCACATTCGCCAGTTAAAAGAGTTTAAAAAAACATTGCGATCTAGAAGGGACTGGGTATCATTTAATTAAATTTGTCAGAGTAATTATAAGAGCTTGAATCCATTCTTATCCGGGGATTCTTAAACGTTGAATTCGCAATAAAAATATATAAATCTTCTTTGTTCTCTCACGTTTAAGAGAAATACTAGGGAGAACTCAGTTGGCTGGTTTGTTTGTTTTTTTTCCTCTTGACATTACTTATTTGGGTTGATACTCAAAGTACAAGAGGAATTTCGATGGCATATCACAGCTAGCACAATACAGACCCTGCTTAAAACTTCCCCGTCCCAGGCCCAATGAGTATTTCCTGGGTAACGTGCGAGTTGCTCTCAATGTAGACGATGAGAGTTGTAGCCCCGGGGTTGAAAACAAACAAAATGAGAAAATGTTCATGTTCCCGCTCTGTTTTTAATTAATTGGACATCACATACGATACAAACCAAAATATGGGATACTTAAAACATCCTTACAACATCCGCCAGTTAAAAGAGTTTAAAAAAAAAAAAACATTGCGATATAGAAGGGATTGGGTATTACTGTATTTATTTAAATTTATCAGAGTAATTATAAGAGCTTGAATTCATTGTTATACGGTGATTCTTAAACATTGAATTCGTAATAAAAATATAAAAATCGTCTTTGTTCTCTCACGTTTAACAGAAATGCTGGGGAGAACTCAGTTGGCTGGTTTGTTTGTTTGTTTGTTTTCCTCTTGACATTACTTATTTGGGTTGATACTCACTCAAAGTACAAGAGGAATTTCGATGGCATATTACAGGTAGCACAATTGCTACACACTTCCTTAAAACTTCCCCGTCCCAGGCCCACTGAGTATTTCCTGGGTACGTGTGCGAGTTGCTCTCAATGTAGACGATGAGAGTTGTAGCCCCTGGGTTGAAAAACAAACAAAATGAGATGATTTTCATGTTCCTGTTCTGTTTGTAACATTAATCAGACATCACATACGATACAAACCTATAAAATGTGAACATCCGCCACAAAAATACTAGGGAGAACTCAATTTGCAGGTTTGTTTTTTTTGTTGTTTTTTCCACTTGACACTACTCATTTGGATGGGTTGATATTCAAAGTACAAGAGGAATTTCGATGGCATATCGCAGGTGGCACAAGCTTTTGCGTGCACAAGTCCTTATATTTCGAGGGTTACCAAATGCTTTTATATTCGAGCTTGGGTTGACCTGGGGGCATACTAGCGTAAATCATGATCATTTGGCAAAATGTTCTATGGGAGTACTGTCACAAATTATGTGTGGTACAATCAGTTCTCTGTAGCTTCAATTCTTCACTCCATTAAAGTATATTTCTTCACATGTTCATATTTTAGAATTCTGTACTCTGTTCTACACTTAAAGGATTCATCGACATCAACTCGCGTAAAAATTCGATGATCTACACTCAATCCACACACTCGATCAGCTCCACGACTCCGAACGACTACACAGTTCTAAGACTGTCGTACAAAGCTCAGTTCTCAGATCACGTGACGAGTTTTCCAGCCACAATGCCGCAATATAAGCTAGGTCATTCTTTTTTTTGTCGAGTGAGTACTGGAAAGTAGTCTGACCATCTCGCTATTTATGCTAAAATGCACAATTTGCCCTCCCCATGCACTTCTAAAACCGACGGCAAGTAACGTGAGGTGGATGAATTCGACGGCTACACATCGTTGCGGTATGCTGGCCTTCGCTGAGCCAAGCTGTCAAGCTCTCCTAATGAGCTCTCTACGACTCACGCGCAACATCAAATGCCGTTGCTCAAGTTGTTTCTGGCCCCAGTTGTTAAAAAGGCGAATAACGCTATCTACTGGATAAGTCTCTATCCACTGAAAAGCGCAATTGGTTTACCTAATTCTTATCCGCTGAATAATGATTTATCCGGTGAATAGCGCTATTCAACGTTTGAACAACTGGGACCTGGACAGGATGAAAGTTGTAGGTTCTCTTTCCGCGGGCAGCCTTATTCTCATTGATCTCCTGGCTTTACGGCGTGCTGACTTTTTGGGACTCCATTATCTTCCTTTTATTCAAGTATTGACCTTGCCCTCCTGTCCGATCCACAAACGATGATTTTTTACCCACAAGAAATTATCAACACAAGGCTTGGGTTCGTAGAAAAAGATTGAACTAGGATCGAACATCTTATAGTCAAACGTTTTGAGGTCGCAATACACAGAGAAGTTAGATACTGGAGGAACCTCTTGCGGGCCATCTCCGCTGGCTTTCCCCAGCTGCAACATCCGTGGGGCAAATGCTTTATGAACACCCAAGTACTTATCACAAATGTTCTTGGCCTGCCAGTCAAATGTATCAGGCACCCAATGATTAAGTCTGTGGTCATGAAAATACAACTTATCAGAGATTTTGTTGAGCCATAAAGCAATTTGCTGGTCAGCGTGAGGGTGACATAGCATCGTGCGCGCGTCTTGCGTCAAAAAAGTCTCCACGATATCACGTGAGAACACCATCCAAGACTCGTCGATCCATGAGCCATTTATTTCGCAGTGAAAATTTCCCCAAACAAGATTTTCTTTAGGACGTAGCGGCAACTCATTAAGCAACTTCTCAAGACATACAAAGTAATCATCGTCCACTCGAAGGAAGTACTGAAAGTCGTATCTAGCCGCGGTCCACTTCGCGTGGTACAGAAAGCGTAATCCAAATTCTATCCCGCCCAGTAACGGTTGAAATTCCATGTCTCCATAAAGTGATCTTTCTTTTAAAAGACTTCGCTGGATTTTCGTGTTCACTACTCGTCCATCTGTGAAGAAATGACAAGCGACCTACAAAGAGAAAATGCGACATGAAAGACTAGTACATTAGATCATTTTTCTAACTCGAACACCTGAAGAGCTGTGGCCTGACTGGTTACCAGTCGTCTCTCAGTCTACTATTAATACCAACTAGAAACGTGGTAAAGGAGAGAGCGAGGGGTGATAAGAAGGAGAAAGAGGCCTGGGGAGACTCTCTCTCCCTTTCATTTTCGTCCTTCCCATCACCCCTCGCCCTCTCTTTGGTCACGCTTTTCGTGTTCCCCTCTCCACGTTCGATCTAAACAGAGAAGACTGGGGACGAGTCAGGAGCTGTAGCTGTAACTTTTGAGGGGGGCTGTAAGGATGTCGACCCAGACCATAATAGTAACTATCAGTCCCTCAATTGATTTGTTAGGTACCTCTTTAGGGTTAAAAATTTTGTGCCACACCTTTAACGCAAGTTTTATGTTTTCATTTGGGACTGATGTTGGAATTTTTTGCCAAGCACCCCAGACATTTCATAAAGGAATACTCCTCCAGGCTCGTAATATCTATCGCTAAATATCCTGACCCCTCTATAAACTCTTAACGTTGCCTTCGTTTGTTGTTTGTTTTTTGTATCCTGAAACTCTCTAAAACAGGATATATTTCAAACTTAAAGATCATCCAGCTGTATGTTTTCATAATCTGGTCACTGTAGTTTTATCTACGAGGTACTACAAGCAATTACGTAAGAAATTCACCATATAGAGGGGGACGTAAGGGGGCACGAATACCGCAAAACCACACAAAAATACGTATAAACACCGCACAGAAAAACATAAGAAACTTTGCAAACCGCTTTGGAATTACCCGAAAATTTCTAAATACCGCAAAACCGCTTGGTTTTGTAAAACTGCAATACTGCAACTTGAAATAAAAATTTCCGCAAAACCGCATCACCGCAAACCCTTACGCTCTTCTCCATTTACCTCTTCGGCTTTGCAATGTTTCCACCACGTCTGTCGGATAGCTTCTCTTCTTTCTCTTCTCAATGGTGCTGTTGATACAATTATAACCAGAAGAACACGTGATTTGTTCTCACCAAGGTCCCGGATGTGACTGATAGGCAGTCCGACACTGACATCATGTATTGGCCAAACCAATTCCCCTTGAATCTCACTCAGTTGTATACGATACGGGAGCATATCTGGCTGATAGAGTATGTTGGGTTCCGTTGTATTATGGAAGATAAGGAGCAATATCATTGCTGCTATTGATATGACCAGGAACTGAATTAGTTGATACTTTCTTCGGCGAAGCATGGTGACACGATCTTGTCTTTCGGTAAAATTCAGTTTTAAGTTCAAGTGAGAGCTAGATTAAAAAGAAATATCCCTGTCATTTTAAAGCCAAGTATACTAAAGTGCAGTTAAAACATTTCTTACAAAGAGATCATAATATGACCTAGTATGATCTCCTGTTCTTACTTGAGATTTTGAATCACGTTTAAAGCAAACGGCATACGCCAGATTAAAAGTTGAGTTGACAATTTCTCAGATTCAGAAATGAGCAGGTATAATTAGACTGTCTAAAATAATTCTTAACCACTAATGCGGTGAAATCACTCCAGGCGAATTTTAAAGAAATTAGGCAAAAAATAGAGTTTATCCTGGCCTAGACAAAACAATGGAAATAAAGCAGGCTGTCGCAATAATCCAATCAGAAATCGAATCATTTATTTTGGCCAGCGTTTTTGCGGAAGAACATCTGTGAACAAAGTACAAGTGACTTTTGCTTTATCCTTCAAAAAGTGGCGCTAGGCATTAATTCCAGCCAATCATAAGGCTTTAAACAGATCTACTGAAAAAAACCAAAATTATCCTCTCTGAAACATGACCAAAGCAAGCTGGATAATCCAAGCTCTTTGCTAACTGATATCTCAAAAAGGAAAAAAAAATTATTTACCGAATTTATGCTCACTCCTGAACCTCTAGAGCTTATTTGCTCCGGTACAACAATCACATGACTGCCCGTTTCCAAAATTATCAGTCAAGCACCCCATTTTGCTGCTCTCGAACTGCTTACTGCTCTCGCGATTTGGTTCATTCTAGTTCCCAGTCCTTGAGCTGCGATCCTTTTGGTCAGCACTCGCTGACCAAAAGAATCGCAGCTCTGAAAGCAAGAACGGATTAAGTTAAGTCTTTAGTTAAGTTAGTAAAGTGGGTTTAAATAAGCTGGGCGACGCGTATTCCATAACGAATGTAAAACGGCTTTAACGATTATGTTATCTTTTCTAATCTTATTTTCCCACTATTTTGTTCAACTGCTGTCAATTGCCTTTTGACATTAATTGTAACTTAACTAAAGCCAGCGGCCTGCTTGAACAGTGATAAGGTTTTCCGACTTACCTTAAATATTTCACCGGGATCTTTCTCCAGTTCTTATTTTCATTTCGCAATAAATGAAATTTCTCGCTATTATAAACTTGCCTCAACGTCTTAGTAAACAGTAAAAATGTCCGTTCTTTTCCCTTGGGAACAATAAACCCTGACAGAACATTTACTAAATCCTCTGAAAAGGCTTTTAACTGAAAAAGCGAGACCGAAACCTGTTGACTGGTGTCTGCAGGTGGTTGCACGATTTCTTTATTATTATTTCTTTATTTATTTCCAAGACTTCTTGTTAAGCCTTCTTTCATCCTCTAAGGGCAACAAATGATTTCGATAAAAATTGTAAATGTCCTTTCAAAATGCTTTTTAATGTAATATTACTAGAAAGAAAACAGATACAAAATTCAACGGGGAAAAAAAAATTACAAAAAAGCATTTATACAAAAGGAAAAATACGAAGCAGAGAGATATGATTTTATTGGGAGATAAAGGACTAACCGGAAACATTTAGTCAAATGAAAAAAAAGAGGAAAATGACCTTCAGGATCTCCATGGCTGAGAAAGTGAGAAGCGAGATGGACTGGAGACAAGCGAGAAGTGAGAGGCATCGAAGGACAAAAAAGTCATGAAACATATCTGCATCAAAAACCTTTCATAACAGATTCTTTCGCAGTACATTTAGGCCTTGTATAAGGAATCAGTTGAACCAATATCAAACTGCGCTTGTCTGTCCTCTGTCTTCTCATAAAACCTTTGGAAAAAGCAATCGCGCGCTGTGGTCATTCCCAGACGAGCCTTGATCCTTTTGGCCAGCGGAAAAACAGCCATTTTGAATTTTGGCTCCAATTTGCATATTGTCTTTTCTCAGCAATTTAATAGCAACTGCTGTTGCCGACTATATCAAAATAACTTCGAAAATTAAGTACAATTTTGTCACATGTAAAATGCAAAAATATACTTCTTCTTTTATCTTTTGCTCTAAGAGAGCACAGACTTTTTTCTCCATAGCATGGAGGAATGCCTTTTTGTCCGTCCTGTGTTAGGCTTAACAGTGCTTTACTCAATTGCGTCATTTCCTTGTTACGCAAGAGTTAAATTCATAGTGCTGCTCACTTGATCAGAACGGCGAAAAGAGTTAATTGACTGCGGGCTCCCTAATCCTGTTCGCGCACGCGTAGAAGCTTTTCTGGCGTCAAAGGTACCAACACTATTGTCCAGTAATGTCGTAGCAGGTATCTCAATACTTGCACGGACAAACTCTGGATTGTTGATGAGGATTCGAACAATCTCTGAAGGTTTTGGTCTTTGCGATGGATCCTGGCTCCAACATTTGCGAAGTAACGACGCCCTAAAATAAAAACAAAGTGCAGATCCTAATATCAACATGGTTGCTGAAGAAAGAGAAAAGAAATCTTTGCCTTCCAGAACGACTAAAATCGCTAGATTTCTAATTAAATTCCATAAAAATGATGAGAGCAACTCCCCCTCCCCCGCCCCCCACCCCAATGTGCCTTGTTGACGCCTATGTGGGTGAGATTGTCGGTTCGCGCTCTTGTTTTGTTGCGACATTCTCAATCTATATAATATTGTGATTGCTACATAAGTTCAGTAACATCTGTAAACCTGAAGAAGGCTGGTATGGCCAGCCGAAATATTGTTATAAAAAAACAATACACGTTGTTTTAAATCAGCTTTGCAGTAGTCTTTGGACTTCTCGTTCTTGGTTCTTTATATTTTGGCTGATTTGATCTCTTTTCTAGAGATCCAACGTTTACAACTAGCAGGATCTTCGTCCACGGTTTTTGCAGTTAATTTAATCCTTGTTTCGAAAGGTTTTTCTCCGGGTACTCGGGTTTTTCCCTCTCTTCAAAACCTAACATTTCTCCTAAATCTCAAATCTAGGTCAGGAATGGTAGACGAAGAACCACTGTGCGGATACGATCAGCTACCTTTAAATAATTATTGATATTCATTTATTTATTCATTTATTTGCATGAAAGATCGACATGCTACAAACTTACATTTCTCTACTAGAATGATGTGGTATTTCTAGCGTACATCCCAATTCCACCTTCTCTAAGACTTCAGCATTGGATAGGCCTTGATAAGGAAAGCCACCGATAGTAGACAATTCCCATAGAGTGACGCCATACGACCACACGTCGGTTTGCAGCGTAAATAATCCCTCTTTTATTGACTCTGGCGACATCCATCTCACCGGTAGCATCCCTAAACGCCTCAGGAAAGAAAATTCATTTCAGAGTTGAAGGTGTCTAGTTGCCTTTCGTAAACGGTAGTTGTTGTGACCTTTTTTACCGAATGTTGTTACTTGTTGAACAATTTCTTACTTAAATAGTGGGAAGCCTGTGCCTCCCATAAGGCGTAGCGGTCTTAGAACGAACACGAGGAGAATGAGTCGCCATGTTTGATGTTGTTTTTATTAACTCTACTGCGGATTTCCAAAAGCTCCTACATAATCGAATCCTGCAAAGGTTTAGAAGAGTAGGTTGGATCTGATTGTTTGAGTTTGAGAATAAATGACATAAATTGTGGATTTGCGACTACAGTAGTAGTAGTCCATGCCACCATTGGGGGCCATGCCTTAAGTCATGATAGATGTAATATATTCCCTGGATTAAGTTACAACAAGACAAATGACACAGTTTTGAATAGTGTTAGAAAGAATGACGTTGAAGGCCAAGTTGAGTTTACGTTAAAAGTTCTGGAAAGAGCTAGGGATCAAGGGTGGCGCAGTGCTGAGAGCTCTCGCCTCCCACCAATGAGGCCCGGGTTCGAATCCTGGCGTCGACGCCATATGTGGGTTGAGTTTGTTGTTGGTTCTCTCCCTTTACTCCGAGAGGTTTTTCTCCGGGTACTACGGTTTTCCCCTCTCCTTAAAAACCAACACTTTCAAATTCCAATTCGATCTGGAACGCACTGACACGTTTCAACGAGTTCTTATGAACTCCTTAGTGCTCCGTGGGTAAACAAATTACAATTTACAATTTACGTTAAAAGTTCTGGAAAGAGCTAGGGTCACCTGTTCACGATGTATCAGTTAAAAATGCAGTTTGCTACTTTATCTACTTTCGGAATTTTGGCGGGTCGGTGTGGTAATGTTGTATTAAGGGAGAGAGATTAGGATAGGAAAGGTCTGGGTTCGACCCTGGGTTGCAATCTTCTTTCTTCTTAATAGAAACACTCTCCATAACAGGTCAAAAATTTTCTAAGTGTCTTAACAATTACAGCGACCGTTTACGAAAGGGAAATTTGCACCGGGGCATAGGAGCTCGATTGCACTTTCGTGGCTTGATGACATAAGACTGGAATTTTAGACATTTGGAATTTTAGACGGACGAGGTTGCAAGTAACATGGTGGCCTGGGCTTCAGATCAAAACATACCTTAGTTGAACTCCTTCTTACGTAATTACCAGTGACAAGTGGGGTACCCAGTGGGGCACCCAGGGGGAGCTTAAGGGGTTCCCGAACGTCCCCCCACCCCTCCCCAATTTTTTTCGTTTTTATTAATGTCGCTGTTGAGTTTTCAAATGTCAATTAAAATACTGCTGTACTGCTCTATTGTTTTAAAGACACAAAGTGATTTCTATTGTCAAATAATTAAGCAGTGCAAATATCTATCCCTTTGGAAGGCGCCTAAGAAAAGAGAGATCTCAGTAAGTGACACTTTTCTACACAATTTGGATCCCCCGCCCCCCCCCCCCCCCCCCCCCCCCCCCCCCCCACCCCCGCCCCTCCTTTTTTACCCACCCCCCCCCCCCCACAATCCTCTCCCCCCCAACGCAAAACGACACCAAACTGGTCACTTCCCCCTTTCTTTTTTTTAAAACAAAAAAAGTGTTTTTTTTTCAAAAAAAATAAACAGGACAAAATACCCACCCCTTGGAAGGCCCCCAAAAAAAAAAAAGACCCAGGAAAGGACCCTTTTTTACCCCATTTGGGCCCCCCCCCCCCCCCCCCCCCCCCC